CCACTGAGATCTGGCACTTGCTGTTGAGGTCCGGCAGTGCCCACTGCGATCTGCCACTTGCTGTAACTTGCTGGCGAGGAGGAGAAGGAGAGGAGGAGAAGAGGAGAGGAGAAGATCTTTGATAAAATCTAACAATCCTTACCTGGCAGGTGGGGAACTCCGAAATAACATTTCTTGATTTCTGCGGCACCAAAACAGAACTCCAAAATAGTTTGATTTTGTCAACCATTGTTTGATCCCCACTCCGGAGGTCCTGGAAACTTCGACCAACGATTGCACGAAGTGCCAGCAGACCAGTAACTAATCCTATATATATAATATTATATATTTATAAATTCTATTGTATATTGTTTTGGTACGGTATATGTATATATAAATTTCCGAACATATTTTTCCTTCATTCAACTTACCATGAAATTCAAGGGCAAAAACCACACATTCGGCCACCCCCTCTTTGGCCTCGTCCACCCGCTGCGAATGGACCACTTCAGCTTGAATTCCCGCACGCTCGACCGAGGCCAGAAAGGCCTGACTGACTCAGCGGATTTGACGTTACAAGTACTCCTTGGGCATATCCCACTGGATGATTGTTAGTAAAGGCTTTTCTCAAAAATAGTGATGCACTTGCTCCCACTGTTTCGACTAGTGCCAAAAAACACACCCCCATGGTACACGAGTAGTCAGGGAATTCCATGCATGTACGCTTCTTCACGAACACATCACATAGAGGTGGAGTTCACCCCCCGTGTTGGTACAGGAAGTCGTCTTCCACGGGACTATTTTGCACGTGCATGTCGATGAGTCAGAGAGTAGATCCTCACTTTCCTTTTGGGCAGAAAAGACGTAAGCCCATCCAAAACGATTGAGAATCAGAATCAGAACTGTCAACGTGGCGAACATGTGACGTGTGCATGTGTAACGAACTTCAGCATCCCCACCCCACCCCACCCCTCAGCCCCATCTCTGGCGTGGCACATGCTAGTGGATCGCTGCAAGTCAAAGTGGCTTCACAGGACGTGTGCAACAATGAAACCGAACAAAAGGACGAATGCAAACAAAAGCATGGAGGTCATCTACCGATATACCTTAGATGGAGGTCATCTACCCCCTACCCTCAAATTATGTTTTAATGAATCCGTTTCTGCCACCGAAAGGATCACACACCCGGACAATCCCATATGAAGTCCCTTTTTCTGATGTGTCTTTTTGATGTTTTTTGGGAGAGGCGGCATCCCCATGTTCATCGCCCTTGAGTTCCTCTCGCCTCCACCTCATTCCGCCTGCGAGATACGCAAATCAGCGCACGCTTGGCCAGCTGCGCAGAGCACAGCAACGCGTCGATGGAGCTGGGAATCTCGGGACTCACAAAGTCATAGCCTGACAGCTCGCGTCGGGAAATCTAGACTTGTTTGTTCCAACTTTTGGGCAACTTTTTGGGAGAAGGACTATGAAGGACCGAAACGAAGATCTTTTTCTTTTTGGATCTTTGGGTGGAAATCCAAAGGTTGGATCATCTGTTAATATCTGATCCTGCAGTAAGCACCAGGCGGACAACAAGCTCTTCATCACATCTTCTTGAGCGAACCACTCAGAGAGCTGTAAAGTGATGAAAGGGACCATCCATAACTGTCCAACACATGGGCAAAAAGAGTCCCTGGTAGACTTGTTGGTTCCTGTATGTTCCTGTTTTTTCTTGCATATTCATCAGCATTCTTGTCCCATTCTCTTCAACCATATCTTAAAAGCATTCCACTATTCAGAACTCACACTGGAAATGCAAACATATGCAAACTACCCCCAACCCCAAAAAGAGCCGTTGCAGGTTTTGCTGAATGAGACTGACTGGGCCACTGACCCACGTGTCTTGCTCGATTTCGTGCAGGCGTAAAGAACCGCGTGAAGGTCTCTTGGACAATGTGTGTTTGGGTATCGCCCACTAAACCAGGGGCCAGTGGATGATGATTGCTATTATTGTAAATATACCACAATCAGTTAAACATGTTGAAAGGCCAGGCGGCCAGACTGGTACTTTAGTCTTACAGGTTTACCCAAGGCCTTTCTCAACAATTGGAATTGATTCCTTCTTTTACCCACACTACCTGGTCATGAGACCGAAATCGCGGTCTCACACGAAATCGCCGTCTCGGAGCTGCAATCGGCCGCCAGCGCCCAGTCGAAGGGCGTGTTCTGCTGCAAAGGCTCTGCCAGCCGGTGGAGGGGAGTGCCCCAAAACCTGGACCCAAGACATTCCGTCCCAGCCGGTGAAGGGGGCGTGTCTGAACGTTTCGTTCGAACGCTTGTCAAAAAGACGCCGCTCAAGAAGCGAAAGCCTGGGAATTACATTACGGTGCCCCAAGAGAACCCAACCAACTGAGCGCCCCATGAACGAAAAAAGCAAAAAATGCCAAACAGCGAGTGCTTGTTTGCGTGATCTGAGTCGAACTGTGTCTGTTCTGCGGCGGTGCATTTCATGTCGGTGCGCACGGGGTGGGTGTGTTTTTTCAACAAAAACATCGCTGAAATGGCCCAACCAACTGGGAGATGTGATGTCTCGTTTCGCCAGCGGCCCGGTTGTTGGATCATTGTGCTGGTTCCGTTCCTCCTTTTTGGTCAGGTCATTGTAAGCATACAGTTGACCAAACGCTGTGCACCGTGCACTTGTATCTGCACGTCCTCGACATATACATGAGCCGGGTCACAGTTGTCGAGTTTTGAGCAAGAAACCATGAGAAGTCTGCACTGTCATGGGAAAGCTCTCTCAAAATCTCCATGAACCTTTGTGCTGAGTAGCAAGGGGCAAGTGCAGCATCGACTGCCCAAGCAGTTTTGTGCTAAATTCCGCCTCCTTGGATTTGCGGGCCTGGGCGCCTGGGGAATCAAAGGTCACTGTGTTGTATTCATCTCCATCTCCGGAAAGCGACATATTCTCAGCGCAGCCACAAAGCCTAAGAAAACATTTTAGGATATCTCATATCTCTCTAAATCTCTCTTGCAGGTCTCCAAATTTGTCAGGGGTAAAGCTCCCCCAACCGGTCTCAAATCCAAGTCAGACTGTGCTTGGCCTCATTTGAGAAGTCCAAGAGTCCCGATGGGGGAATGGCTCAGAATAGATTGTTGTATTTCATGCACAAATTGCGAACACATCTTTAAAGAACAATCCACTTTTGATCTGTATGTGCACCCAACAATTCCTCTATAGGCTTTCTAAGGCTCTCTCACCCATCAACTCATCTAGGGTGGGTCAAGGGACTGGCACACGTGCCACGCAAAGACATGTTCAACCGGTTTGGGGAGGTGATTTGATCACTCATGCTGACCCCCTCAGTTTCCCTGGAACATCGAAGCTTGGTCCACCTGTTTGATTTGGGGCGTCCCCAATCCCGCACAAAACGTGCGGCAAATCCACTCTTTTGGTGGTAGGGCCAAATGCGAAGATTTCCTCATCAATCCCAGGTCTCAAAAGCGGCAATGCACTCTCCACATCTGTCAGAACCACCGGCATTGCTCCTGAAGATACTGTCAGTGGCTTTTCTTTCAATGGGTGGTCTCATAAAGTCCTGCTCCCCGACCCGGGAAAAAGGACCATCAGAACAAACAACATGGACCCTATTGAGTGGGGAAGACTCAAGAAAGTAAAGCTGTGTGGACTGTTTGCGGTTGCCCTGGTCGCCACACAAGCAAGGTGTGTCATGGTTCGCCTTCGCGTGCACGTGGATGGGACCGATGGGACCGATCGGACTCGTTGAGGAACAAGTTCGAACCTTCCACCAGCACGGGGATTCTCGATGTCCTCCAACCGAACGGGTGACACCACCTTCCGAATCGCTGCTCCTCGCAGTGCTGCGTACATGCCCACGGCACCACAGCCAGCTCCCAGCTCTAAAACACTCCTCAACGGACGAATCGAACACTCGTGGTCGTGCTGATGCGATCCCAGCCTCTCAGCTGTTGGCAAGGGGACTCCCGGAGTCGATCCGAATTCCGGCTCCCCAGCGACCGGAGACGACCTGCGGTCTCGAGGCGCCGAGTGACGACCTGCCTCTCTCGTAGGTTGGAGGTTAGTATACCAAGTCCATTGAGCGAATTCACGTCTAAGAGTTCATACCAATAATGCAAACGCCCCTCACCAGGTCTCCTTCCAAACGAAACCTTTTTGACTTGTGCCGCTGGTAGCAAGGTAGCACGACCATGTGTACATGGATGATGAAAACTAGAAGCACAGTATTTAGTGCAAAATAGAGGGTGAACAGCTCGCAACAAAAGTGTTTCTTTGCACTTGGCTCGGCATTCCGCTTCAAAGCCTTTAGCTCTGGAAAAGGCACGTTCCTCGTTTTGTCCCCCAAAGTCTTGAGGTTGTAATAATGGACTTCACCTTGAGCGCATTATGGCAATAGTAGTGAACTGCACCTTGAGCGCAGTATGGCGCGGTGGTCCCAAATGATTCTTGTTAAACAATACAGTACCGCGCTTTGATACTCCAAAAATGATCATCCGTGACCTGGTCGTGGAATGTGGGTAGTGACCATCCGTGGGTGATGGTGCCATCCGGAACCTCAAACATGTTGTGCCTGTGGGGAGGTGAACACGTCCAAAGTCGTTCCAACCAGTTGCCAATGGAGATGCCTAAGGAGATGCCTAATGGACAAGTCTTGTCTGGGTGCCCAATGGAGATGCTTAAGTAGTGTAGGGTGGTCCAGCCAGGGCACCCAGACAAGATGGACCAGGTACATTCTTAATTCACAAAGGCTGAAATGTCTGAAATAGTTGAACACATCACACCACCACCAGCAGCAACCACCACCGCCACCACTGCCGCTGCCGCAAGCACCACAACAAGCAACCACAACAACCAAAACCATCCAAAACCACTTCAACTACGCGAATGACCAAAACGACCACAACCACGACCCTTGCGACCACCATGATGACGACGGCGGTGACGACGACGCAACGACAACGTCAACGACAACACCACTTTCGATGCGATGGCTAGCTCCCTCACTTCTCCACCAACATGCAGGTGCTCAAAATTTCCCTCTTCTTCCACCGAGAATCTCCAAGGCCTTGTTTTTTCAACCACTTTACTCCTTGAGGAGATCTCACATCATCAAACCTCCCAATACACTCTGACTCACTAACATGGTTACGTGGAAAACCCCCTGTTGGTAGAGGAAAATAGTCTTCCAAGTGACCATTTTCCACTTCCATGTTAGTGAGTCAGAGGGTAATTAGATAGAAAAAGCAGCCAAGTCTCTTCTCTTTCAGCTCTTGGTCCTCTAAGGTGGCCAAGTATGCCATCAACACCTCGCGGTGCGACTGACCGCGACGTGGCAACGTGCGTACGGACGTGCAGCGATCGAAAGGCGGGCGACTCCCGGCACCAAAGAGTAGGCGCCCTGGAAGAGACCAACATGGAACCTGAAAACCACCGGGTTGTAGAGGCCAATTGTCTTCCAGTCTGGTCCATGCCATCAGGTTCCATCTTCATCTTTTTGGGTTCGATGTAGCGATCGGTGGGGTGCCCAGCAATGTTGAGTTGGGCGTTGAGTCATATCTGGTGTCCATCCAGTCTTCCTGAAACATCTCGATACCAACCAGAACAACCGCGTCACGATGTTGTCAAGGTTTTGACCGTGGCTGTGCAACAAAAAGAGAAAATCAAGCTCACCTTAAGAAAACCAGGAGGCGACTTCTTCCCCTGGCGAACCCGTGACACTACCCGTGAGCCTTGGCAGCAGGCCACAAGCACCACGCACACCACGCGTCACCTGAGCGTCGTTCACGGACGTCCAACGTCAGGTTTCTTGGTGCTGGGTCCGATGTTGGCCCCTTCCCACCACCCCCCAAAAGAACAAATCAAACCACCGGCCTTTTAGGAAAAAGAAACAAAATTCACTCCCATTTTTCCCGTGAGGTTCCCCAAAAGAACAGTTTAACACACACACAACCCCCAAAAACAGACATCAGAAAAAACCAACCAATTCCACTGGTCATCTCATCCAGTTCGGTGCGTCAAGCATCCATCCACGTCTTCCGTGGGATCCTCGATGAGCGAGAGCTTCAAGTGGCGTACGGGGTCGACCTGGACTGCGCCCGCGAGCTGCCGCCACCCACAACAGAAGCCCAAAGACTCCAAGTACAAAGCACCGGGGACCCATGAGGAGGTTGCCTTTATTGTAGAAAAGGTGGTTCCAGGGATCAACATGGGCATTCCATGGAGCATCTGGGAGTATAGTAAAGAAGTCTGTTAAGTCTCTCATCAACTTGTGATTGAAAAGATTCACATGGAACCTAAACAACAAGACATCGACCCGTGTGCTACTTGCTGTCTGAACAGAACCTGGTGAATTGCAGGTGTCAATGCAACTTCCATGAAACTGCGATTCTCTCAATCTCTCTGTCTTTTTCCATGGAATACATCTCTCTGTCAGCTCAAGGTCGTCTGTCTGAGTCCCCAAAACTCCTCTCACCATCGTCCACACACCGATCCCAAATGCTACTCCCCAGCCGTGCTTCCGCCCAGCCGAGCTGCTTCCATCGTCTTGGTCCAAAGCCGCGCGCCCCGCGCGCCGGACCGCGCGCCCGGGCTCGCCATGAGGGACCACCCCGGCGAGGTCCGAGGAGTCGGAACTGGCTAGAGCGAGACAGCGCACCCCCAAGCAAAAACGAGGAGTGCATCATTGAGTGCATCATGAAAGTATTTTAATGTATTTTATATGTCTGGGAGTGGGTGATCGTCTTATATAGGGAAGTGTTGGACAGTTTTAGCAAGGTCATGACTGCTGAAGACCATGAAGCTGGGATAAAGCTCAGCAATTTCAGCTTCCTGTTCGAACTGTCCATGTCACCATGTCGATGTTGTCGAAGAACAAACGACATGGACCTCTGCTCAAGATATGGATCTCGGCTCAATGTTCACCACAGTGTGCGTAGATATCATGACTATTGAAGAACTGTAACAACTATGATTTACCAATGGATCCTAAGCCTTGTTACCACCAAATAAGGAACCAGGGTTTCTAGGTCTACTGCTGAAGTCTGTGGAAACACTGGTTACTTACTATATCTTACTATAGTGGTAACTGGATACGCTGGGTTTTGTGATTGTTTCTCCAGAAGAGAACTCTTTGGAACAACTGAAAATAAGAACTCCTTTTGATCCAAGTGTCTGGCCTCTCCTCTTCACAGTTTCCAAACGTAAATCTACAGTAAAGGCCATCGAAGGCACGAGCCTCTTTGAAGGCAATGCACAGCCTAATCTGGATGAGCACGCTGGATGAGCCAGGCAGCCAGGCCAGCGCGAGATGCTGAAGCTAAAAAGCGCAGGGTCTTAGGGCAAATGAACCAATGCTGTGTGCATGTGTCTTTCTTCCTTGGTAGCTGGGGTGTCCAGCCCGATGCTTTCCTGAACTCCGTCGGACGCCCCAAAAACGAAAGGCAGTCCCTACTGACCTCTTGAGCGAAGTGAACAGTCAGGCAAGGGTGCTTCACCGCTTGCCACTGACTGGCTAGGCGTCTTAGTTATGATTCATGGCGGTATGAACACCAACTGCGGCACATCTTTACATGTTCTTCATTGACGTCCACAGCAGTGGTTACGAGCTCTCTCAGTGCGCCGCTTTTGGCCCTCAAATCACGAGTCTCTGCGCAAGGGCCGACCAGCATCGTTTGCCATCTTGCCCTTCTTATTTGAACAAGCCCAGTGGATGCAGGTAGACTGTCCTATATCTTTCAATTAGCCCATGCTTTGCGTCAGTGGCGAGAGGGTTGCCAGTGGCCAATGGCACAGTGGAGAACCTCTTTCCGGTCGGTCGACCGCATTCCAGAAACCACTCGGCGGTCACGTGAGATCTCACTGCTGCAATCGGCGCAGTATTGCATCAAATCCATGTTGCCTCGCAGTATACGCCACGGGTGGAATTTGATGGGATGCCAGGTGCCATCAATTCAACAGTTGCCCGTGGGTCAACACATGTCCACACCTTGTACCAGTGAAGAAACACGAGTGTTAGTTCCTCTGATACTTTCACCTCCCTTGGCTTTTGAGCACAATATCAGCAATTAGGCAATTAGTCGCGCTCATCCATCTTAGTCTTAGCCTGGGAAAAAGAAACATAACGTTTCTATCGCCTGTTCCAACACCCTTGCCGTACGTGACCCCAAGTGTCTCTTCTGTAGTCGAGAAGATACAACTTCCACCTCTGCAGTGTGATGAAATGTTTCTTCTTCGCAGCGGATCAATCTAATGATTGGGGAGATGGCCTCTTCGTGCGACTCTCCATTTCTGGCGGCATTCCATGATGAGGTGGGAGTGCATTTCTTCTATCTACACCACCCTTGCACCAAAGCCATTCCAGAAGGTTCACCCACACCGAACATCATAATATTAGCACACCGCTCGTGTGAAAATGCAATGGGATTCAAGCTTTGCCAACACAAACACTCCCATCTTGAAACACTCAGCGGCTCAGCGCCAATCCTATGGTGACTATACGATGCATTTCCTGGGTGTATCATGGAGGTCCCAGTACGTAGTGCAGGGTGGTCCAGCCAGGACTCCCAAACAGGATGGTCCAGGTACATGATGTCGTTTAGATGCTCCTTTTTGCATCCTTTGGCCTGTATAGGGACTGAAGCAACACTTGTTGGTCGAACGGGATAAACCACCCTCGTCTCTTGTAGTTTGGCGGGGGAAGATTGAGCTCTGCGACTCTGCAATGTTCCCTCGCCATTGCTCGCTATTCACTGCATCAAAGTGCATCAAATGACATTCAATGAAGCTCATGTGCCAACAAAAACAGAACAACTGTTTCATATGTACTTATATCTTATATATACTCTTATATATGCATGGTACAGTAATGTGCAGCAACAGGTTAAAAGCGCTCACACGTCGCCCTAGAACATTTCAGGTGTCAATGTATGTAAAATACCCATTGCAAATTTGCCAGGGTGTCCGGGGTCTCACCACCCATTTTATAGATACGGAAGGATGGAATTGACCCGCTCATGGAAAACAAAGGATATGGCCAGGGGGATTGCACTCCGACTCACTGACATGGAAGTGGAAGAGCCCCTGTTTGTAAAGAAAAGGCCCTTTGCAAGGAACCATGCCATGCCACTTCCGCCGTGATTTCTTCGTTCTCGGGTGTCCCAAGTGTTCGACGGACACGAGACGACGAACGGGTCAGCTGTGTTCATCGCCACCGCCTCGCCAGCTCGAGCGCGGAGAGGTTGTTCCGCGTCGGCAGGCTGGGATCAGCACCTGGGATCGACGAAGCGGAGCTTGGCAAAGCGGTGCTTGGCTCACGAATGTGGCGAATCAATAAGAATCTTCCATCTTAAGAGGATTCTTAATTCTAAAGAACGGTTTTTCTTCCTATCATCAAGAGCCTACCTTTTGTTCAACCTCACCCGTCTCATCTTCCGGTGGCGCAGAACGCGTGCCCTTCGAAGAACGCGTGCGCGCGCCGTTCGCGCGCGCGTCCACACAGGCCGCCGGACGAGCACGCAAAAGCAGCTCCACCATGGGGAGGGAGCCTCGGGAGCAGGTTGAGGCTGGATGAATGGCGAGAAATTTGGGTAAACTCCATGCCTGAATCTGCTTGAGATGGGTTGAAATTCCTACTTATCCCATTCTTGAATCTGCTTGAGACGGGTCAAAATCCTACAGCCCTTGCCAGAATCACGGGGAGTTTGGGGGTTACACTGTGCTTCGACCACGGAAATATAGTATCACGTCAGTCAAGCAAACGCCCACCGGATATGGTCGTTCCACCATCTCATCTTCCAACATGTTTTCACCCAAAGAGTTGAAAGTTAATAGATCACACCCACTCCATTTAGCCTAGAAGTCCAGTTCGACGATATTTTGACCGACTGAAGTTTTTAGGAAAGTCCTTGACTCGGGTCACCTAGTCCGACCATTCCTTTTAGTTTTCTCTTTATTGTCTTTGACTCCCAGGTTTTATGCAACCAAGAGAGGCTGAGAGACCACATAGGACCCTGTCGTGGTGCATATGGGATGGGCTATATATGATATATATGGCTGTTCAACCTCTCTTGCAAGTGTGTGAAACTCCTTGGGTAGTTTCGGGGATCAATGTAGGCGTGGCACCTGCGAGTGACTAACCTGAGACGTTGGTGTAGAGTCACTGCCACGCTGACTGTGTGTAGAACGTGTATAGACATGCGTCAAAAGACACGCATCCGTTCCAGCTACCTCTGAACAAGTACTGGCACTGTCTTAGATTGTTTTATCCTGTACGGCCTTCGACAAGCAAACGTGTTATGTCGTACGGGGGTTGTCAACTCCGCATTACAACCTTTCTTTGTAGAATTAGTGCTCATGCCGCTGTCCTTGCTTTCTTTTTCTCAAAGCTGTGCTTTGAAGTCAAAGGTCAAACATAATGACCAGGAAAAACATAGTCACCCACGGTGCATCGTTAGATTCCAGACCAACAGTCACGACTGGGGTCCAGAACAGCACACACACCACAGGCAAATCAGTGAAACGCTGCGAAAAAATCGAGAGGATTCAAGAGGCCTTTCCGGGTGTTCCCCCCCAAGGTCCAAAACCCAGAAGAAGTTCAACAACACCCGACACCGGTGTCCTTCTGGGTGGAGGCAGGGGATTAGGTGGCCTTGAAAATTCACGGCTAGCAAGCAAATCGATCAACATTCGCACTATCACTACGGAGGCCCATGAGTTAGGGGTTGCCTTAGTAAGCTGCCGCTGTTGGGGTTGCCGTACGGTACGTACTTTCCAAACCACTGGTCCCCCCACACGCCATCGGTTGTGGCCTTTAAAGACGGCCAAATGCAAGGGCGTGCAAGCATCTTGACGGGACCTGGGCAGAACGGCGGTTCCGTCCTCCGAAACGGTTCTGCGATGCAACCGCGGCCAGTGGGGCCAGGAACCCGGGTCTGTTTGGCTGAGGGCGAAGCGAAAAACATGCTATATGAATGGTAATCTTTGAAGGTGCGTTTTGGGGTTGCTGCTTGGCAGTTGTCTCATCTTAGATCTATCTGGCGGTCCTGGAATTCCTATGCAGCAAACGTCAAACTAATTATGAATGTTCAACATCGATCAACATCAAATGAATGGACGCTTGGGTTGGTATATAGGGAGTTCGCCGTGACATTCAGCTTGACAAACATCTGAGGGTTGAGGGTGGTTGCCTACAAGAACAAGAGCCCTCCAAAAGCCAGAACTAAACCTTCATCGTTTGCTCGTCAGATCATCAGCATACCGGGATAGGGTCTAATATGGCACCATGCTTAACCTAATATGGCACCGAGTCCGTGGTAGTCGGTCCTACTCGGTTTCGAACATCTTTCCCCGAGGCCCCCAGCCCGTAGAATTGGTGAAACAAAGAAAAGCTTCGTCCCATCGTTTTGAAACAGGCCACCATCCCTCAAAACAAATGAAGCACCACTTTGCATTGCACATCATTGCACATAAAACAGATCAACATCTGATTAAAAAAACAACTTGACCCTTCGATTCTTATGGCTTGTGTAGGCATAGTTTTGGGGTTCCTATGAAGCCTATTCGCCACTGCGTGGTTCCTATGCTGACAGTCCTGACACATGGCTGTCAGCGGTCGGGGAGTCGGGGCGCATCCAAACCGCTGTGGTGACAGGAAGGTTGACGACGGAGTATATAATGCCCTCAAAAAAGATATTCAGTACAACTCCCCTGGAACATGCATTGGAAAAGGGCTTCGGCTTCTATCATACGTACTGTGGAGATCAAGCTCCACATAACATCTGTAAGTTTAGATACTTGGGTCGAAGATCAAAATACCAAGAACGTTCTAGGACCGACCCCGTTCTAGGACCAAGAACATGAGGGTGAGCGGAACGGGGACGGCGTGTTTCTGATATACTGTAATTGATTTCTTCTTAATTAATTCATTTTGGATGGAACGACTCACCATAGGGTTCACCGGGTTGATCCGGAGCTCGGATTGGCCAAGGAGCACGTTGGGATCAGCCCGGCCTTGCTGGACACAGCACGACTCACCAAAGGGATCAGTCCGGCTCTTCCGGCCGCTCTTGGACAAACGCTGCAAATCTCTATAGACTTACAGACTTCTATAGTAGTCCCTCTCTCTATAGTAGACCCTCTCTCAATATATATATATATATATACCAGCAGTCACAAAGGAATGCTTTTTGGTTTTTATTTTTGAGATCTTCTAAGTGAGTGGATATTGGGCACCCCTTTGATGGTCATGGTTTGGAACATGAGAAAAGATATATATCTTAAACCGAGTTGGAGGCAAAGTAGTCGATCCCTCACCCAAACCCATCCACCCATTTTCTCATTCAGCGGCTCTTCGTGCTGACTCTGGAAGCCGCCAACAGGCAGGCTCACGTGCAAAATGCTAGTTGAGCCAGGTGTTCTGCAAATCTACTATAATCCAAAAATGGGTTATTTCCGACACGTTTTGACACGCACTGGGGGTATGCAAAAACCACCCGACACGCACCAAAGGGGTGCCTAATAGACACCCCTTTTGTTTAAGTGAGTGGTTAATGGGCACCCCCTTGAAAACCACCGACACGCGAATGACACGCATTGACACGCGTTCCAGTGGTGGTTTCTTAAAAAACAAGGTCAAGCGGAAGATGCCTCTGCTGAGCAAGGGGTGGTTGGTGGAGACGTGTACCAGGGTTCATGCTAACAGGAGTGGTTCATCCCAGGACTTCCATCAGAAAAGAACTGAATTTGTGTCACCCCTACCACATGTCAGATGTTATCACCAGCAGTCACAAAGGGGTCTTAATTGAACACCCCCCCCTAAGGAGCGCTTTATAGGCACCCCTTCGTGACTGCTGGTATATAGATATAGACTATATATATAGATATGGGTGGTGTTTCTGGGCTGTAAACCGAGCTTCTCAAAGTCCAACTGTTCACCACTTGAGACTCGCGGAACCGGTCCAAAACCGATGGACGGTCACCGCTTCGTCTGAAACCGATCGCTGTGGAGCGGGTCATGCGGCGGCGGAGCCGGCGGAGCAGTCACCGAGTTGGTTGAAGAGTCTCCTTCCTCACCTTCAACATCCTTCAACCAATTGGATCTATGGGGTGAGGAATAGCATCCTGAAACCCGTACCTCGAAGGGGGGTGAATTGGATCGGGAATGATGCTGGACATGACCTTGTCATGCTGTCAATCAAAGGAGTTTGTCCATCCTCCTCAGCTGTCAGGTGTTCAGTGGTCCCTAGGTCTGATGGAATTCTGGTCTCCAAGCCTCGATTCTTCTTGTTTGGTCGCAACATGAACTTCAAATATGTGGACTGAAAGAAAACAACATCTGTCATGTAAGCAAGTTGAATCCACGGATGTAGGACATTGTAGGACCGTGTCCGACGTGTCCACGCAAATTCTAGCACTTGGCCCTTGAGTTACTTGAGTTGCAGGACTACAAACAACAAAACACACATAAACACACATAAACACACACACACACATGTTTTTCATGTTCCAAACGGCTCCAGACTTCTTCCCATCATTAACGATTCAGCAAGCCTTTTCTACTAAAGTCTTCTTTCCAGGATGTCACCACTGGCTTCTGCTCGAGGGACCCACCCTCTCCAGAGCCATCTACCAATGCCGGTCTTCTGGTTTTAAACAAGTTGGATATATGATATACAAACCTATAAAACAAGTCTCAGATCTGCTCTACAACACCCTCACAACTCCAAGTTCCAATCCCAAACCTTCTAGTTTTTGTCCAACTCCCTCCATAGATTCTCAACACTTGGAAAAGAAACCCCCACCTAGGTCGTTTCCAACTTCAGGCGGCCAGATTGCCCCGGTGACACCGGCGCGGTTTTTTCGCCCCACGGCGGTGACAGACTCCGAGTGCCCCAGGCGTTCCAAGAGAACGGCCGCTTCGCCTTGCATGTTGTGATTCACCTCGTCGGTTTCGGTTTCGGCCCTCGCCGACCGGTCGACGAACTGCGGAGGGTGGACGAACTCGTCGCGGTGGCGCGGTGGCGTGGAGGGGCGTGGAGGGGCGTGGAGGGGCGTGGAGGGGCGGAGGGAGAGAAGGACAGCAGTGCACCGTTTTTTTGGACCAAAAAGGATCTACAGTATACCCTAGAAGTCCAAAGACTATACTGTATTTTGACCGACTGAAGTTTCTAGGAAATTCCTTGACTCGGGTCATCTAGTCAGACCATTCTTAATTATAGTCTTTGACTCCCAGGGTATATATTTGCTGCTCAGGGCCGGTCCTGATTTGTTCAAGGGTCCCAAAATGTCCCAAACCTCTCCTATCAAGGGTCCGGCCCCCATCGAGGGCCCGTACGGATTCTTAGGGTTAGAGATAACAAAGATGAGGGTTCATCTCCAAATCACGAACTGCTGAGGCCTGCCCTGCTTGCTTTTGAGCACCCCACGTCCAATCCGTAGTTGACAGGCAAGTATCCCTTTGAGATCACCCATGTCACTGAAGCCTTGAAGGGTTCACTTGGGAACCCTCAAACAGGTCACTTTTGAAGAAGTTGGTTCCTGGACCATAAAGCACCGGACTTTCCACTGACTGGTCTTGTTTAGTGCGAAAACCAAATCCCCCAAAAAGGTTGAGAGGTTATCCACTGACTGGGTATATAAGTGGTATACTGACTGCCGATCAGGGGGTCAATGGAGGCCTAGGATGCAGTCCGGATGGTCTCCGGATGGTTTGGGATGGTGAAACCCTATTTAGAAAACACCCACAGAAATTGCCTTCTTTTAAGACAATCCATGTAATTATGGAATAGTACAGTATACAATTATATCACTATTTGTCCTGCTGACCCATGTCAGTAACTCTTCCACCACCACAACCCGCCTTTGAACCCCCCCGCGACCGTCATCTCGGGCCGCCGCCGTGGTGTGTAAGGGGCGGCTGCCGTCGGGACTGGGACGAACAGCAGCGAACAGCTGCCGTCGGGTGAGGGGGATCTTGTCCGCTCCGAGTCCGAGTCGTCCGAGTCCGGAGATGTGTGGGTTTGTTTAAGCGACCAGATCTGACAAGCAAATCGGCTGCCAGGACACCCGAAAATGATCAAGCAAGACTCACAGTGTACAATTATTTTTATTGTTCAGCAAGAAGAATTATATATATACTTGGTTTGAAAGCCACGAACTCCAAACTTGGACCATTAGTCGCCTTTCCAGACTCAAGCAACCAAAAATGAACTTGTCTGAGCAAGGGAATTTTCAACAAACAGATCAAAGAGGTTGCATGGAATGAGCAACTCCTGAAACTTTTCACCCCAAAAAGGTCACTCTGAAGCTCGTCTTCCAAGCCTTCGGTTACTCGTTCACACCCTTTGTCCACTTGAGTCAAACTAACAAAGTGCATGCCCGATTGACATGGTTTTCTTCAGTAAATGGACCATGTGCATCATTGTAAGATGACCTGTGCAACCTCTGCACACATGGCGTCTCCACCCGTGCAAAAATCATTGTGCATCATTGATCTACTTCGGACGATCTGTCCATTCCTGTGCTGACTGAAAGCTATCAGCCGGCATTGAACGCACTTCCACAATCGTAGGCTTAAAAGGCTTAAACGCTACAGCTCGGGCTCCCAAATTCTGGCCTTGGGATTCCACTGTGGTTTTCTCTCCTAGACTTCTGGTTGTACTGATTCCATGCAACACCGTTCATATACAAAGAAGCGTGGCATGTACACACAGCAAGGACGGAGCTTCAGACTCCAGGCTTCGTCCGTGACTCCTCGGGTTCCCAGAGGTGACGTCGTCGGGAAGACGCTTCACTCAGGAGCCCTGGCTTCGTGGCAGCATCCAGGTCGGCCTCGGGATGGGCTCGAAACGACGGCCCATTTTTCCGGGGCAAAACGGGAACGGGAGGACCTGCAGGTTGGCTGTTGGGGGGCGTGTGGTCCCCAAACGATTCAACCGCATCAAGACACAAAACAAAACAAAGCACTGGATTTCACACTTGGAGTGGCTCAAGGAACCGGTAAAAATAACACATATTCACCAGAATCACCAGAAGGGGATTCAACATGATTTAACCGTATCACACAAATTGAATCAATTTGGCTGCGGACATAGCGGCTCATGGTGGCTCTGAAATACTTTAAGGGCTCCGTCCTTCTGACACCAAGCAACAGGACTGTGCAACTAAGACAAGTAGCCCCAATTTTAGACCAAATATTGGACAAACACTTGCCTGGACCCCTACAACACCTCGCAATCTAGTGGATCAAACCTCGGTCATCTTGAAATGCAAATGCCCGCCTGTTCCAAAGGCATCCGCCCTGCCTCCCAGCACCCTTTTGCCTTGATGTCGATCACCGTGCGCAGGGCCACCATTCGGCGGGGCGCCTGTGTGCTGAAGATGGCAAAATCCTTGACCAAAAGGGTGTGGTTCGTAGCCCCACCAAGCGGGAATCATCCAACTGTTTCCGCGTAGACAGTGCAGACTGCCTTTTGTTCTGTTCAATTTGGATTGTGAAACCATGTGACTCCTCCGGGTGTGAGGTTCTCAAACTATCATGTGGTGTGAAACCTCGTACCATCATTTGGTCCAATACTACTTGGGCCCTTCCAAATCAAACCAACTGGCAGGCTCTAAGAGTGAGACCCCCCGTGGACCCACGTTTTCGGCGCCTGAAGACCAGGGTTCAGGACCAAGGCCAAGGCCGTAAGACCCGAGCGACTTCGTACCTGCGCGGGGGGGGGAAACACGAAAGGTAGAGACGGACCGGGTAGCAGTCCCGAGCGGGCTCTCAAGCTAGTCCCTTTGCTTCGCAAAGCAAACTCAAGGTAGTCCTTACCAGGCTACCTTTTGTGATATGAGTCAGAGGGTCCTTCTTCATCCCCAAGTGGTTAGGTTGAAAAATAGACATCTCTGAAACCATCACCTAGCTTGGAATTGGTGGAATCTGGTTTGCTCCAGATGTCACAAATCTGGCTAATCGGATGTTGCAAATGGAGTGCGACAATTTTGAGCCCGACCCCCACAGATTCTTCACAAGCCACACTTGAAACATGTCTCCTTGTACCTTCCCTGCAAAAAACATGGAAGTGGACAACCCCGTGTTTGTGGAGGAAAATTGCCTTTCCAAGGGCCATTGTCCACTTCCATGATTGTTGCAGGGTAGCCTTCAGCTCACTTCTATACATCGAAGGTGACACATGTTCTGCCATGGGTGACGCCATCTTCAACCATCAAGGAGCCTCTTCCACCCCTCCCTTTTTTCCGCAGCTTCGCCTCTGCCGAACGAGCGAAATCACCAGGTCGTGTTCACGACTGAAGATTCCAATGGTTCCTGGTACCGTTGGAGGAGCGCTTCGGATGCGACTCGAACGGAGCAGGCCAGGGCATCGCGACTCGATGTCGAGCCGTGCACCAGATCCGTGCACCTTGCCTGCGGATCCGCCCGCATCTCTGCCACCAGCGCGATCACTGAGCCCTCGCCTCGGTGATCGACAGAGGACGCAAACGCCGAGGTCTCCGTGTTTGACAAAGGTAAAAAGCCTTTGAAAGCGACTCCTTTCAAGTGGCCGCTTTTGAGGTGGGTTCTCTTGACACGTGTTGATCTTTTGGCCTCCCTGGTTGTCTGTGATCTTCTCCCCAACCGGCTCCAGCTACAAATCATCTGAAGCAAACACTCCGGCCTGCTCGCGGCGCAAAGGTTGCCTGAACGCCGCGCAAAGGATTCCGGGGGAACGTCGCTCGCGGTTGGTTCGAAAACAATAATATGAATATGATCAATCTCCTCCTTGTTCTTGGTGCTGTTGTTGTGGCTGTGGTTGTTGGTTGTTGTCTATTTTTTGCGTGCTTGCTGCTTGCTTGCTCGTTTGTTTGCTTGCTTGTTTTTTTGCTTTGTTTGCTTGTTTTCTCTTTCGTATTATGTAGCCATGTCAGAAACACAATGAGTTGGTATAGCATTGGGAGATTAATCAGATTACCACAGTGCAGGAACGCACCGGATTTCCTTCATCTGTCGAATCACGTTCGAACAGCATTCCGCCCCCTCTTCTCGCCTCTCGCAAGACGGCGCAGTGAAGGGCTTTCATGCCTCGTCCGGGCGGCCGGGCTCCCCGCGCCGGGTTCGGATCCTCCTGTCGAAGGAGGAACTCCTCCTCCTCCCAAAAGAGGTTGAGAGAACCTATGGAAGCCTACAAAGTTGGACACAATTGGATAGAAGAACCATTGAAGAACCATTAGTTAGCCTACAAAAAACAATTGGATCGAAAAGGATCAAAAAAGGGCCCTTCAACCTCCCCACGATGAACCACAATAGAAGGGGTCCATGGTCCACCCACCCTCGCGGTGCATCGTGGTTTCATCGTCGAAACAGGGACCCTGCGAAGGAACGTCTCGTTTACTTCTAAATTGTACTGCTAGGTGGGTGACGTTTCTTCTAGTGTAGTGAATGACATCTTCATGCAAGGTCCTGAGGTGTTGCCTGCATCGGTGACTCTATGATCTCTATGTGTCTCTTCTGGAACTCTGCTCAGCAACTTGCAAAAGCCGAATTGCAGTTGCCAGGCAAACCAAGCCGCATGCCGCCACCAAATCATCCAAGCACTCCCCCGGCAGCTCCTCCCCCGGTCACGCTCCCCACCGTCGGCGCGCATGGTGTCGATGGAGGCACGACGCTCAATGAGGAAACGGCACATTCGGGTGTACCTGGTCGACGTGCACGAAAGCAAAGATGGGTCTATGTTCCAATGGATGAACTGGGAGGTCGAACCGAGAGATCTTCAAACCGAACACCGGATGGCAGCCATCCAAAGGTCCCCGGCCTCAAGAAGACGCTGGTCCACTCGATTCTTGGAGCGACATCTTTTTCCTTTCGGAACGGACCGGTCCGGCACGCACCCTTCCACCAGTGCCAGCTGCAAGGGTGTCTGTTCGTCGCTGGCCCGCACAGCCTGTGGCGGGTCAGGACGACCGGTCGGCGAGCTTGCATCACAAGGTCGGCCCGTCCTTTTGGAGTGAACATTGCAACTTCCCCTTGATCTTGGGTGCCCAAGTCTTTTTTTGGAATGGTTTGTTATATATATATATATAATATCTTTGTGGTCATTTCATATCTTCTGACTTCAGGAGGCTAGAGGGAAGGAGGTCTCCTGGTTCTTCCTTTTCCCTCTTTTCATTGGCAAAGGCGAGGTTTCCATGACTCTGGTCATGAAGTGGCATGCTGGTGCCCACGTACATTGGCACAGTCGCCCAGGCCCACGAACACCAGACAGAACTCCAGGTTCCTGTCTCCAAGGGGGCCCAACGTCTGCAGGTTCCGACCTGGAACTGCACATGACGCACCCAGTTGTGCACCATCACACCCATCACACCCATGCCAACTGGCGCGGCTGGAACATGCGTTTTGAACGTGCTCCCTGCAACGAATCAGCCATGCTACAATATCTGTTGCTCTGGTTTTCTCGCTCTCTCTCTCTCTCCCCCTCCCCCTATGCGTCTTTCTGCACACAGATGAACCTTGATGAACCTTGAATAACTTTAGATGAGCTCAGCATCTTTGGAGGTGTTTGAGCAGAACTCGTTGTGATGACGTGGAGGAGTGCCCCACTTTCCCCATGCCCTCAGGCTCTACAACTGCCTGGTGCTGTGCCTCGCTTCCTTCCATCAGTTCTGCCCAAGCCCCCATGGTGTGGAGAAGAACCCGTTTTTGAGGAGTCAATACCTCCCACGAAATGGGACTCTGAAAACAACTCGGTTGAGAGGAATCCTTTGGGTATATCCCCACCTCCCAGGGCCTGTTTTGGAGGCCGAGGCCTGAGCAGGGAGGCCGACATCTATCTCTTAGATAGTGATGGGACCGACCGACTTTAAAGGTCATGGGACAGACCCAAGGAATCCTCGTCCATTTCAGTGTTCAGGTCGACTGTTGGCTGTTCGGGGAGCGGCACCGTGCGGAAATTCGCAGCCCCAGAGCCCTCATCCGCCAGAGCCGGTTTCAGCAGACACCTCCAGTTCTGCACCACGCTCAAGTAGGAGGCTCACGGCCTCCTGCGAGCAGTGTGGCTTCCCAGAAATACTGCAGCCAGTTAAACATTTTCAGGCGACCCAGGCAAACAGTATGTAACTTGTAACTTGTTTATATAACTATTCTAATCTATTCTATTCAATACATGGATGGTCTGGGATAGAAACTTCTTTCACCTTTCAAGGAGTCCAAAGTCATGTGTCACAGCGCCTGCCCACAGGTTGTGGGGAACCCACATGACAAACATGGAAGTGAACAACCCCCCTTCTTTGTATGAGGAATTTTATGGTCTTTCTAGGGACCGTTTTCCATCATTTCCCATCCACTTCCATGAAAACGTGGGATGGAAGGTAGAAAACTCTTAACCTTCTTCTTTCCTTCGTTTTTCCTTCTGGACTGCGCCTCAACCACCACCTTCAAACCTTCCCACCCACTCCTACAACTCCTCCCACCGCAGAGTTGGGCGACTCCTCGGAACCGGAATGGATGGCGCGATGAAGGACCGTGTCCTGCGGCCGAGTTTGGGAATGGCAGCAGCCCGAGCTCCTTGGGATTCTTCGACGAAGCCCGGGGAACAGATCAATGCCCCGGGAGTTTGGACCTAGCTTGGGAAGAACGTCACAAATCACAGGACAAAACCGCAAAACCAGGGCGTTCGGAACCGTGGTTCAGGAACATGGATGATCCCTTTCCTGGACAACAGCTTGTCAAACTTGTCATCATGGATTCGACACTACTAGTACAGTCACAATCACCACAATCACTGTATTACTGTATAGAGTGGATTTATGGTGTGTGTAAGCAAGTGTACCTACGACTTCTGCAGCCACTCCAAAGATGCACCTCCACATCGTCTTTGTGGCTGATGGGGCATTTGGCGTCCAAGAGCAACCTGCACACCACTTGAATCAAGTTTGATTGGACATGTTTCAAAAAACGTGTTCAACCACCAGTATGACTCAGTATGATCCGGATGATGGTCAATATGCGTACCATGTGTTTTCATATATTGATTTTTGCGCATGTTGCAGCAGCCTCAAGGTCCAATCACCGGAAAAAGCAGGCAGAAGAAAAGCTAACCCCCTCAGTTTTTTCAGGTTATCCACTGAAGGGGTAGGACAGGGACATCTCAAACCACTCGGCCACATCACTGAGGTGCCCGTTGCGAAGCGATTTCGACCCTGTCGTTTTCGCTGCCGCCATTTTGCACGTATGGTGTGGCAATCACGACAATAATGATGTTCATTTTAAATGCTATATATATATATAAACAAGTATCATGATTAAGTCCATTACTTTAACAATGTTCAAGACAATGTTGAAAAACAAACTACAGTATTGGGAAGACATCTAGAAACACAACAACTCTAAGAAACCAAAACATACTAAAAACAAAAAAGAGAACCAACTCAGCTACATCTTCTTCTTCCACAGACGTTCCGTACCGTCTCGTCTGTCAACCTGAGTGTGTCCGTCCCTGCCGGTCCCTGCCGAGGCACCGGAGAATGTCCACGTTGCCGCCTCGGGGCTGCGAGACTGAGACTAGCGGACAACGACCGGTGTTTTTGTTTGGGCGACCGCCACAGGTGCGGTCGCCATGCGTGACGGCAAATGGAAAAAAAACAACAAAACATGTGTTTCTTCCATGTTTTGTGTAATTGAGGTTTTCTTCCGGAAGAGCCATGGAAATGGACAAAGACGGACAAAAAGACCCTGCCACCTTTGGAAAAGGATGGGGACAAGACTCGATGTTAAGTGTGGGGCCGGGCTTACACCTTTTGGTGCCATGTTTGGAAGGAATCTTCTTGAGATCACACATCCTTGAGAGAATAATAGAATGGAATGTCCCCCCAAGTCTTTTACAGTTGTTGTTGTTGTTGCTGTTGCTGTTGTTGTTGTTGTTGTTGTTGTTGTTGTTGTTGTTGTTTGCAGTGAATTTTCTTGGACAGTTGTCTTTTTAGACATGTGGCTGGGCCTGGGTGTGTTGATGTATGTTTCAAGCATTTGCTCGGGAAAACAGCCGTGAGAACCAACAAAAAAACCGAGCTGTTGGGGAACAGCATCACGGTGGATGAACCTGACGAGAACCTGGAGATCTACCCCGCTGAAAACTCACATGGATCGACCCTGACAACCACTGGTGCAGCTAGAGGAAAACGGTCGGACTCAGGGTGCCATTCTGTGTGAGTTTTCGGGAGTGTACATTTTACTTACCCCGTGAAACGATCGTGGTTGCGTGGAATACAGCCTGTTCGTAGAGGAAAACAGTCTTCCGAATCGGGGCCATGTTCCACTTCCATGTGATGTTTTGGGTGGAGGGTACTCCATATCCTTGGCAAGCACCATCGCCACCCAATCCCAATAACCAGAGTGTTGAAACAGGACAGCTCGATCCAAGGGTGCTTCAAGGCCTTTCCAACAGGCGATTCTCCGGCCCGAGCACAGGTGGTTTGCACAGTTTGCGGAAACATCTCTTGAAGGGTCCAGGCCCTGGCAGAAAACACACCTCTGGTGGATGTAGACCTCATCAGGCATAACTGAACTGACCGCATAACTGAACTGACCAGGCCTGAAAAGCTCATCCGACCCTTAGCAGCTATACTGATCTGCCGGTTCCTAGCAGCCAACAATGAACAAATTCCTCAGTCCTCCGCTTCGCTGCCACCCCACTTTCTGACAGATTTCCTAATCAGCCTTCAAAACACCCTTAACAAAATGGCTGACCTGGTTTTAGAGTGCCAAACCCTTGGTAAAACCATGGTCGTTCGGAATGACGCCGGACATGGAAATCGGTGTGGCTTCGGAGCGTCTGGGCATGCCGGACTGCTGGCCCCAGTGTGTAGAGGACCACAGCCTCTGCGTTCGGAGTGACATCCATCAGTGATCCTAAAATCAGATCTGGGAGTCACATAGAGGTGATGTGTGAGTCATAATTCTTCATATGAGTCATAGAGTCGATATGAGTCGATGATGTGTTTGATCACCAGTCAGTCAGTGGGAATGGAAGAGTTATGTATAGATGATGTGTATCTGATTACCCGGATCCGAAATCATCCTAACGGAGTTTGACCACAACTTTGACTAGCAAGCAAAACGATTTCCTTTCCTTTTTTCACTTTCAAGATTGCTGAGTAAAGGGTTCTCTGGGGGAAAGGCACGCTCCTCTCTGGAGTCTTTCCGTATCTTTTCCAATGGAAGCTGCCCGTTGTTGTGGAACGTGCACACATGTTCCTTAAGTCAATGCGTCTGAGGTCTTTCACGAAAGGTTCCACGCACAAAACTGCAGCACACTCTCCGAACCGCATGGTCCCATGTTTGCTCTTCCGCCTTGCATGGGCATTCTCGTGTTAACTGCTACGTCAAGCACCTGGGTTTCTGTAAATTGTCTAAGGAAGCTTTCGGTGGATGAATCCATCAATCCATAAAATGAGAGAACCACCTTCTTCACGCTGACATGGCAGCATGACCTGGCAGCCTCTCTCACCCTCTCTCTCGCGGCTGCTGAAGAACCCACCCACCCTCAATTCAGTGCTCGTTGCTCTTCAGGGGCCCAGGCCGAAATAGTTTCGGAGTCGATTCCCTGGTGCTCGCGTCGCGGAGCGGATGAGCTGTGAAGGCGATGAAGGTGTCAGGTAGTTCTCTTAATCCCGGGCTCCAACCACCTCCGTTTCGAAGGTGGTTGGGGTAGGCTTGGGGGGTCTAACCACTTTCTGAGGATATAGTTGGAGCTCTAGAACATTTACACTCCGTGAATTGGCCCCGATTTCGTATGATGAAATCCGAAGACCAAGGTCCGGGTGGTTTTCACTCCATGAAACCTATGATTTCAGGGGCGTTTACGGCAGTTTTGTTACTTCTCCCCATGCAAGTTGAGGGGAGTCGAGGACGAGGTCTTGGCAGGTCGTTCAGCTCAACTTCGCCACAAATATGTTGAGTGTCTCAGTCTTGGCAAAGGCCGAGTAGAGATAAACACTGCCACGCTTATATCTAGAGATTCTAGTACTACAACTATATAGAGAATACTAGAGAGACAGTAGTATCTTTCCATGCTGTAAGTTTGCACGCTTTTCTTGGAAACCACTGACAGGTGCAGGCCTTGAACACAATTTGAACACGGTCCATCCTCCATCCTACCAGCTGCCAGGCTAGCAGGAGCCGCATCATGTCTATAGGTGGAACATGTTTCAAATCGGCCACTGTTGATGCACCATGGTGCAATATCAGTATGTGGTACATGGGTTGGGGACATCCCATGGATTCTGGTGACGGACACCGACAGTTGTGAGCACGGCATCTTTGGATGATCAGTCACTGGGTCTCCAAGATGGTTCGTCTACACCGCAGTGAACAATAGATTGAACATAGATGAAAATAGTTGAACTTAAGAGATATAGCCACATATAGCCCCTACCTTAGCTAGGCCCGCTGGGCTCCCCCTGGGGGCCCTGCTCAATTGAGGGGACCTTGATTCATTGTCTAACGCTGGGGCCATTAAAGAAAGGATGTTAAAAGTATGCATGGTTGGCGTGTGAAGTCTGGGAACCATCGCCAAAGACCGTCTCAAACACAATTAAGCTTATAGGACACCTGCTCACTGCTCACGGCAGCATGGCTTGGGCAAAGCCACGAGAGCAGTGTCGGGCATCCGCAAGCAAAGCCCTCAGTTCTAGGCTGCCATGCAGCTCCGTTCTGAAGAATCTTGATGGATCCACGGAAACCTCGCTGATCTGAACGAGCCACGGCGCCAGCTCTTCTCCGCGTCGCCAGGGCGGCGAACGGTCGAACCTGCTTAGTGTTTACCAACAGAGGTTAAGTGACCTAATAGGACCCTACAGGGGTACCTATAGGATAGTCTATAGGGTTCTTCAACCTCTGTTGGTAGGGGTCTGACCCACAGCAAGACATGACCCTCGCTGCTGGTCCGCTCTCCTTGAGGTGCACGCAATCCTGCGAGTGATTCCGACCACTTGTGATCGCTCTGTCAAGGCCTCGCAGCTGGTCTTCAGCTGCTTCTTCTGGTCCCTCACCCTGACGCTTTCGCCATAATTTCGTCCCATGTCCGGCGGTGGGGTTGGCGGGTAATACTCATCCCATGTCTTGCTGTGACACTCCCACAACCTGAGAAGTTCTTCAGATTATGTAGTTATTCTTCATGTAGTACTCCCAAATCCGTTTTTTCTCCCATGCAGCGATGAAATACCAGGACCAGCGTGCAAGTGTGCTTGACAAGTCTGCAGCAGGAGTTGGTGTTCATTTCTACATGGAACATAAAGGGATAAATTACACCCGCAGGCAGTTTTTGAGGACAAACCATGTTCCAGGCTGATTTTCTTGAACAGGCTGGAATTTGAGACTTTAGACGATGCAGCAATCAGGCGTGCGCAAAGACTGTGGTTCCACATCCCCCCCAAATTCCAATCACGTATAGTATATACATAATTCATTATATAGCAATCATCTCCAGAGCCAAGCCCATGCAGCTTCTTAAAAGAACCCTCTGCCCATCTGCAAGGCTCAGGTAGCTCACTTGGAACCCTCAACACTCACTGCGTAGGCCACCCTCCAAGGTTCCGGGCAAAAGGTGGGGTCGGAGCTGCTTGCAGAGTCCTCGGAGGCGAGGACGTGGAAGGCACGGTGTTTTGGGTGTATTTGTTTGGCGTGAGACGACGTGGAACATCAACACCCAACATCATGGTAAGACCCATGACCTGGGCGGTCAGGGTCAAATCCGGAAGGTTAAGACCCATGACCCGGACATCATTGTCAGGTTCCTATCCCCGGACACGACCTGCCTGGGACTGTCCTATTTCCGAATGTACTGAAGCCCAACTAGCATGCCGCCACATGCTGATGGAATCTTATTATGGATCGAATCTAAACTCCCTGCCAAGTCAGCAGGGGCTTCCGGCTAGCCGCCCAACGCGGCTTGGAACCAAACGCGAAACACCCTTGGAACCCACGTTGGAGCCCATTCTGCACCAAACCCACCGAACTATATAACACGACGTCGCGAAAAGTGGAGTGCCTGGCACTCCTCGGAGGTCATGCGGCGCAACAACTCCCGTGACCTCGGGTGCAGACTTCGGGTCCAGTCGGGTGTGGACAGGTTCCAAGCAGTGAGTGAAGTGGCTGATCTGACTGGGTTGTCACCACGTGATGCTTTGTTTGTCCTACTTAATTACTTGGTAAGAGAGACTCATCATTCATCTATAATCTACAGTGATGAATTCTGAACATGAGGTCTTTCCAATCTTTCCCACTTGATGCTTCTTTCATTGTGAAAAGGAAAGTGTGACCTGACACGCAACCTGTCTAGGACCGGGATGTTGCCGAACAAGCCAGCGGCCTATCTTCCACTCCCAAACAGGTCCGATCTGGGCTGGGTGGTGGGGACGGTCGAGGATTAGTTGTGCTCCTGTCAGTCCGCCAGTCCGACAGCTAGGCTAGGCCTGGTCTATTTGAAGGAGATTTATTAGACCTGAAAAAAGCGGTGTTGTTCATATCTCCAGAATGGGCTGTTCCAGGTGCCCTTGCAGAAAAACAATGACCATGGACCATGGGGTTGGGTGAGGCGAAATCTCAAATTGTCTACACAAAGGTGATCTTTTCACACGGTTGTGATTCCAATAGGGAGGCCCAAAACCAATGGGTTTTGCTTTTTCCCCTTCTTCAAGTGGGTCTTTGCACTTCCAAATTCACATGTCAAATGCTATGCTCAAGTATCAAGTGTCCAACAATTGAGGAACATATTGCCAACATAAGGCAAAGTATCCAAAGAAAACATCATATAACATATATATATATACATATATATTATATATAATTAACATAACAGTCATAACATCACTAAAAACACGTTCTGTGATACGACTAGCCGTGACTAGCCCTTTATACCATTGATGGTTCCTTCATTGGATAGCCAACTGCTAGAATACACCCAGGACCTACAGGAGAGGAACAATCTCTTGCAAAGCAATCTACCAGCTGTGGCACAACAACATCTAACACCCCAAATCGATCTGTTTCTGAGTGGACCAAGTGGACCAAGTGGCCACACCCTGCTGGACAACTCCTTCCCTGCAGAGCTATCGCCACTTGACCAGAGCCGTCCGCATGCGCCGTCCGAGGGGCGCGTCCAGATGTCCCCGGAAGGTGGACAAGGCCAAGGCCGTGTCCCCATCATCCTGGCAGCTCGGCTGGTCTGGTCTCTCGACCGGTCTGGCAGGGTCTGACGACGTCCAGCGGGGGACCGCGGCTGGTCGCCGCAGGGGTCATGAGAAACGGAGAAGAAAGCAGCGAAGGGCCTTGGAGGGCATCAACTGGTGCCACACTGGCGGGTCGTAGAAGATCGGGATGAACCGGGTAATTGGGTAAGCCGCAGAAACTGCCAACACAAGGTCACATGTCTATCGTGTGGTGGATCTTAGAGAATAACATACCCAGAAAACCTCCCGACAGGGGACACATTTGGCTTCAGGAGTGGGGTTCTTGCTTCCGCCGCTGCAGCCTCTACATCTTTATCTCCTAGGCAAATCCTTTCCCCCTTGTGACCAAAGAAACAAATCGGCTCCGGCAAATGTAGTGCCTCCTCTAGGAAATCGCCACCCCAAAATGAAGCCTTTCTTTCTATGATCTTCATTGGACCTTGCTAATTGCCTTCTTCAGGAGCCGGGACAGAATATTCAGAAAAGGGCTCACCCATACCCAAACACTCCATGTATGCCATATATGCCTACATTGACCCCCCAAACCACCCCAATGTAGGCATATATGGGAGTCCCATGGGGTGTTTGGGATAAGGAACAACATCACCCGATACGCAAAACCAAGTAAAGGTTGATCCTCCAAACATCCGTTGAGTCCCCAAGGGCTCGTTGCCCGGCATCTTCGTACAGCTTTGGCCGGCATTTTCGTACAAAAATGGCAGAAGCCATTTGACCTCTGGTTTGGTGGGAGAAGACCTTGTTTTGGGTGGTTGGTGGTCCAAAATGGGTCACTCAGGTTGTAGGCGCGTGAGCCAAACGCTTTCGCCCCACAGATGGCACCTTGAGCGCGAAAACTGAGGCACCTAGACTCGGAGCTTCGAAGGTCAGAAGCTCGCATCACGGGTCTGACGTGGATGAATGAGACATAATGAGACTATACATACCGACTGGGTGGTATTTTTCTCCACTCCTCAGGCTCCTCAGGCTCCCAAAGGAATCCAAGTTTGATCATGTCCGCGGCCCCCCAAACACCGAACTGGTTTCACGATTTCCTCATGTAGACTCTTGACTCAAAACCTTCGGGGCGGAGGTTTGATCCAACCCCCCGGTCCTGTTTTCCACCCGGTCCTCTCCAACCCCCGCACGACCGGTCGCGGCGGGAAAGGGATGGTCACTGTCTTCTCACACCTTCACGTCTTCGGAAGATGACCCGATCTCACGAGGATGGTGGAGATGTCCAAGAGAGGTCAAGTGACCGTCGCCCGGCTTTTTAGGATTTTAGAATGGATTGGAATAGGGCAAGAACAAACAGGTCCTCTGATTGATCCTTTTGGCAATTTCCCTGTTGATCCTGTTGTTGCACAGCTTCTCTGGCGAAGACCCTGCAGACTCCAGAAACAACTTCTGGAGACTTGTGGGCTTCGCGGAAAAAATCACACCCCAAACGAATCGTTCTTACCCCCTATATTACGCAAAGCGTCCCAAAGAAACTCCCCTGCAAAAAGGGGCCATCATCTTGAAACCTCAACAGGGACACCTGCAAATTGAATGCAAAGAATGACCAACTAGCCTCGGATGGGATGCTGGTCGTCGATCGATGGCGCAAGCATTTCAACAGCTGAACGGTTCTGAAACGGTTCGATGGTGCATCTACTGCCCTTCCCGGAAAATATGTGTCTACATGTGTCAACTAGGGTATAAATGGGTACGGTATAGTCATTCCATGTCATTCCTAGACCGTCAAGCACCAACCAAAAACACTTGATAGGTTCGGTATCCTTAGCCTGGGAGGCTGAACATGAAGGGACATTGGTCGAATATGGCAGGCAGCTTCGTGTTCCGGGGTGATGTGACCCGCATATACAGTGGGTTCAAAGTAGCAATCCCCAAGTTTGGTGCTTTATGGTGCTTTATATTGACCCCGATGTAAACGACATCTTGGTATGCCAGTGCCATCGAACCTCAAACACAACTATAAATTCACCCCTCTCAACTGTCTTAAATTGCATTGATTGACCGATGGACCTGATTTGGGGTTCCTTCGCGTCTTTGCTTTTAGCCTTGTATTCAGCTGTGTTGACCATGGCTTGAAGAAGCTAGTCTGGTCCAGTGGACTGCCTAGCTAGTCCGGTCCAGTGGACTGCCTACCTAGTCCGGTCCAGTGGACTGCCTAACAGCTTGGCTGTCCGGACGATGATGCCTACGCTCCCAACGCTCCCAACGCGATGCGACGCGCTCTGATCCCACTGCCTCGGCTCAACAAGAAATTGAGCATTGGCAAGTGCCCGTGCCAGGCGGCCTGGCAACGTGCTGGCGGATGCGAGAGTTCGTCCGGCATGTGAAGCACAACCTTCACGCAGCGAAGGACGCAGCGTCCCAGAAAGCCGGGCCATCTGTTCTTACCCCTCGGTGGCGCACATGAGATAGGCTAGGCATGTGCCGAAAAGTAGGGTGTTGAGGCAGTGTCAGGGCTTCAATCCTTATCCTCGCTCTTCGAAATGCCATTCTGATACATTCTGAATTGAACACTGATTGATCGATGACAAGAAACTCAGGGTCATCAACTTGAACTCACTGTGCTGACTGAGTTGGAAATCCACCCTTTGAATGAGCTGCGTGATGCAGTTTTCAAGTGGCCGACCCAACTCCAAATTCCTTATCCTTGAGGATGTCATTTTTCATGCCTCTTTGTCCTCCACTCTCCCAGCCTTGCTTGACCACCTCATCCTCTCCAACCTGACGGCCCTCGCTCTCTGCGTGACAAGATTTACGCCCTAGATTAACATGAATGATGTCGAAACCCAATTGGTCAAATGGGAGGGAAAACAATCACACAATTATTTCCAACAATATTGAGATCCAACAATCTCTGCTCCTTACCGGCCCATCAGGCAATCCAGCCGGGCACCGATACCAGGTAACAGCTGTAACACCCCCACAGCCACATTGCCAGTCCTGATGCAAGGGGGTGTCACCACCCAGCATGCGTTGCTCCAGGTTCGCCTATGCGGAAGGTGGATGGGACGGACATGTCAGCCCTGCTGTCCTGGCTGGGCTGAAGCCCGACACCGGTCAGGAACCCACCTCTTTCATGCTTCGTGGTGGTCAAGGAACCCACCTCTCAGTGCTTGGGAAGGTCTCCATCCGATTCGGCCCCAAACGGCCACTCGAGCTCCGCTCTGCAAGGGTCCAGTTCGAGTCCGGGGGCATAGCTTGTGGCTCAAAAGCGTCCGTCTTTCAAAGCACCTCCAAGAGCTCTGCGCTCTCTCTCTCTCTCTCTATACCGCCTTCTGAGATCAGCTTGTTGGGCCTATGATCTTGGGATATCCTTGCTCATGTCCGAGATTGGGAACAGGGAGCCAACATCGATAGAAACGAGTCCATTGAGGTCACCCTGCATCAAGCTCAGTGGAACATGGCCCAGAAGATCACCCAAACGCTCCACACGCCCAGCAAACATTGGATGGTTTTCAGGCCATTGTTTGCATGGAGCGTCTTAGTCATGTTCAGGGCCAAGCCATCTTGGAATCCTTCGCCCTTCATCTGACCGTTTCCTGACCGATCACGTCTGGCCTGACCATCCACCAGCACCTGGCTGCGAGCCAAACGACGGACTCCCGAGCGGACTTGGGAGTTTGGATGTCTGGAACGTCAAGGTGCAAAAGGTGAACTGAATATACTCGAACTGTTCTTGTTTATATAATGCTTAAAGTTAAAGCATCCCAATCCCCGAAAAAGGTCTTCTTGTAGGTGATCCAGGCACTTCCTGGGGTAGGTTGGGGCACCTCGACCAGGGCCGCCCTTTTTCTTCTGAGATGTTTTTTCACTGGTTCCCATGTGCCACATCGAGTGACACAGTTATTTTCATGGGGTAAACTGTTTGTGACAGGTAACTTAAGAGTTTCCAGTCCCATGGCTGGTCTACTGATCTTACAACCCCGGAAGCTCCTGAAACTCTGCTCGGAACTTGGAACTCTTCATCTTCTCTCTTCCGGGCCGTGACTCTAGGCCAGTGCCGTGGGCACGAAGTTGTTGGCTGATCCTAGCGGAACCCAGACATGCCATCCCAGAAATACAACACGTCAATCGGTGTCTATTGGACTGGACCTATAGTATCTATACACTCTGATTCACCAATCTACCAAAAGTGAAACGTAGGAGCGGCCTGCTCCAAAACTTACCACTCTGATTTACCAATCTAGCAAACATGAAACGTAGGAGCGGCCTGCTCCAATACGTTTACAAAGTCAAGCGTCTCTACCCTTTGGGCCTTGAAGTCCTTCTGATCTGTCTGACCTTCATACCATGAACATACCGGTCCCTCAAGACCTTTCAAGAGCCGTCGGGCAGCTGCTGTCGCACCCCTCATGTTTCGTCCCCCGGTGTTGTTCCACCTCACCGGACGAACATTAAAAGCAAACCCATGACCTTCCGAAGCATTCGCCCAGTCCAGTCGTGTCCAGTCGTCGCTTCCCAATTGGCCATCAGCTCGACCACGGTCCCACGGTCCGACCGTGCGCGTGCGCGTGCCGCCTTGGCGACCTCCACCTGGCCCTGCCAGGCGGCATAGTGCAACGGCGCCTAGAGAGGTCGCACGGACGTATCTTTCGCCGAAGTGAAAAGGGACATGTTCCATTGAATGTTTGCCTGGTTGTTTTCTGCCTCCAGGGGTGAGAGACAAGGCCCAAGGATGCCCGAAAGGAGACGGCAAAGGAACCAGGCCAAGAGATGGGCTGTTGGTGGTCAAGCGCCAACAGCGAACAGGCATGGGTGATTCATATAGCGCTTGTCATTCGCGTGGCTCGATGCCTTGTCAAAGGTCAGAGCCACTCCTGTGGTGACATCCATCCTTCCCTTCTTGGGCGCATCCTCCAGGGCTCGCTTGTGCCTGATCCAGGCATCAGTGGTTGTCTGTCTGCATCACCGGCAGCTGACAATGCCCAGCATTGTTTGGAGACGTTTGCAGCACGTTCACAAAGGTTGTCATGCAGTTGTTCACGTAATTGGAAGGCCAAACGCAAGCATCCCAAGCCACAAGGAACAAAACACTTCGGGACTGTCCCATCATCCAGAACATCAACTTGAAAAACTGACTCCAGTACACACCCACTAGACTGGGCCTCGCCAAGGGGGCCGCAGGGCCCAAAACTGGCCAACAAACCCCCAAAAAGCCGTGGTCAGGTATGGCGACGCCTTCAGGGAAGGGCAGGATAGGGCCCTCGCTTGCATGGGCCCCAAAATCGTACTGACCACCCTCAATCTCTGCCAGTTTCTTCTCGATGTATTCTTTCCCGGGCATCACCTTGTCTTCAAGGACCCCCTGCCTCAACTTCTCCAAAGCAATCTTCATCACTGCCCACTCTCCTACCACTGGTTTCGCCCACTGTTGTGTATCAACCGCCACCATGTATCACCCGCGCGGAGGTCGCATACGTCGCAAAACCTGGCGGTTCAGAAGAGCACCTCCACCAGGTCATCCGTGTGCTCAACACATGTTATTACATTTTATATGTCATTTTTCTGCCCTGTATCCTGTTCCCATCCACTCTATGAAATCAGGCGTCCTGACAACAGATTTCATGTTGTAAAACTGATATAACTTGTCTATAAAATAATCGCCCACTATCAAATCAAAGGTCTGACCCCATGTTTTGATTACACTGTGTATTTAAAAGAATACGTGGGGAGTCAACCCCCTCATTCCATACAGGGATATGCGAATGCAAACAAAATGTGATATAATACTGAATTTAATGGAATACACTCCCTGGAACTAACATGGAAGTGGATGGCCTGGCCCCGAAAGGAAGACCATGAAATCCACGACAAACAGGTGGTGAACTCCACGTAACCATGTGACGTTCCAGGGAGAGTTTCTATAGTAATTGTTGGTCTCCCACCTTCAGCAGCCAGCTGAAGGTGGTGGACCCCTCCAACCCTTCGACACCACGCGTACGCTCGAGCGTCGCCGTCGCGCGGCGGAACCCGCAGTCGCGCGGGAACGCCGTCGGGCCCCAGGCGGAGCGGTTCCGAGAGCAGTGCCCGACCTGAGCCAGTTGGGTACCGTGGGGGGTAGTTGGGTCCTGCACGTGAAGAGGGCCACGATACAGCAGCTGAAAAACCTCTGTTGGTTCACTGACCTTGAACCGGATCGGAGGTTTTGGTAGTAAGCGATCTCAACTATACCCTATGAACCAAAGTACTCGTTAAACTGGTCTCCGGGGTTCGCAGGGATACAAAGGACACGAATCTAACTGACACAATCCGATCACAAGTGTTTCTCAAGTTTGGGGATGACAGGAGCTGAGGTAGCCTGCCGAACTGCGAGAGCACAAAGAGTTCTGCTCCACTGCTCCACTTCTCGCATGATCTTCCATCTAAACAATATCGTTTCTTCCTTTGAATTAGGTAGATATACCCTAACTTTCAGTTTTGGACATGTTCATGCACCACAAAGAGAAAAACGAGACTGTTGCTTCCTTCCTTCCTTCCTTCCTTCCTTCACCGTTGCTTGGCTTGGCTCGGCTCGCGGACTTCCTTGCTCCCCCCACCCTCCCATCCTCGGTCTCTCTTTGGCTCGCTTGGACTCCCCAGACCGTCCGTGAAACGGCCGTCACTCGGCCGGGCTCCGCTCTTCCATCGGTTTCACCGTCTCCGTCGGCCGTCGTCGGGAGCGCGGAAGGGGCGGGCCGCCGGTGTCGCCATGGCGACCTGCGAGGCTTTCGAGCGACCGCGGCACCGGAGGTGGCACGATGCCCGGGTTCGGAGGGAGATGGCAGGAGCAATCCATGAAACAGGGCAGCCTGTGACCTAGAACAAAGCGAATTCAATTCTCAGTCATGAAAGCACGTGAGGCAAATCTGCTTCAATATAGGAGTATGAGTCCTCAGAAACAAAACTACATCATCCGGTCCCTACCACTCAGCAAATCTGCAAAGTCCGTACTCTTAAGCCCACACGCAACATCGGCTCTGCTGCAGCTCACCTCCCATCATCAGCTCTTGCAGCTTGCTCAGCTCTTGCAGCTCGTGCCTGGAAAGCCGTTTGATCAGTCGGGCGAGCTGCCCAAGTCCGCTTTGAGTGATTCGAAGCTCGCGTTTTTGAACATGTTTTGAGGGCTTGGATTTGTTGTCCAGGAAGCCGGGAACAGCATAGATACTCTTACCCAGAAGGGGATGTAACCTTTAAAAATACAAATATTGCCTTAAGCAAAACCAGTGAGGAGTGTCCATTTTTTTGGAGCCCAAATCCGTCATTGCACGCTTGCCTGACTCTACTCCTCAATCTCTTCTCTCTGTTCATTAACTTCTTTGCAATAAATGGCCTTAAACGATCTTAAGCGGACTTCCTTTTCCCACTGCTTCCCCACCTTCAGTCAACGTGTCCGCTGGTTGTGATGCAGGGACCTCATTCGCATATCCTCGAGCTTGCCCACGGGAGCTTGCCCTGGACGAAAAGGCCAAGTGATGACACGGTTGAATCTTATCAAAACGTTCCATGGGACTGGTATAAACATGCAAAACATATATTATATGAAGCCCGTTTCATCTCAGCAGCCCTGTTTGTAGCTAAATAATGTGCAACCAATCAAGGAGTGCTTAATCATAATTATTGGCATACTTGTGTGACAACTTGTGTGTCAGTGGTAATGTTATGTGTAAAGAGCAAACATAATTTTTGCCCATGCCCATGCCAGTGCCACTGGATTTGTGACTGGCATCTGGACTGACAAGTTTCGGTGGTTCACTCAGGGTCCATCTAGGAATTTCTCTAGGAATTTAATGAATTGTCTATCCCACAGGTTGAGAACTACTGGAGTTGATCATATTCAGATCATACATAAACACCCTATGGACTCAAGGAGGCAAAGGACCAGGCTTTCCACTACTAGGTCTTTGAACTTGTAGGGTATACGGTATACTATACCGGGCGTAGGTATAATTGTGTTTCAGTCATTTCAGTCCCATGCAGTGTCTAGGCTGCTCATTGAACCGACCTTTCGCTCAAAAATTCCGTGTCTCGCCATCGAATCTCGCCCCACCCAAGTGGTTCAAATCTCCAAGACGGTGTTTGGCCCTGGAATGGAGCCAAGGGTTCTGACAGCCCTGGTGGCTTTGGAATGCTTTAGGCGGCCCGTAGCCCCGTAGCTCAAAATCTCCCAGATCTGAACAGACTGCCCGCAGATTTGGCCAAACTTCGAAGTGTGAAGCTCCCCATCCACCGGCATCCACCACTTCCAGATCAACAGGACCTTGAGCTCAGCATTCCAACCTTCCACGGGCACTTTTTGACTTGGACTCATCCACATCATCCAACTTCCCAGTTGATCCTGGGTCTTCGAACACCTCCCAGCCCTGCGCCGGTTCGACGCGGCTCCGTGGGTCCTGGGCGAGGGTGTCAACAAGGCTCGGAGCTCCTGGGCGGTGCCAGTGGACGGTCGCACCGAGCCTAACACCGTCGAAGCGTCGAACCGTTGGGGCGTGGGTGGATGGGAAGAATGGGCTCCAATCCCAGGCACGACTAATGATGGGACTGCCATAGGACTGCCGAGGCAGTCCCATGAGTCGTATCTGGGTGGCGACCAAGCGATGACTGGTTTCTCTCACTCACTCCACGAGGCTCGGAGCTTCACTTTGGCTTCAGCCACATCCATTTGCTTTGCCCAGGTCCAAGGCATGGAGACACCACTGCTTCATGGCATGTCGAGGGCACCTGGGTGTTGTCGTGCTTAGCCACCAGCAGCTCTTCCATCGACCCAGGAAAGACTTGATATCAACGGCTGAGCTTGGCTCAACATCGGTCCCAACACAAAGCACAAGATCTGAAGAAGGAGCCACACATTTACAGTATATATAGCCAAACGATGAAGGAATACGTGCACTGGCGCAGCCACCATCATCTATCTCACGGCGCTCCTCGTAGGGGGGTTCCTCTTCCAGCGTCAAATCCCTGCAACGGGCGGCCAAGCGCGTCAGCAAGGTCGCCAGGCGCTTGGGCAAAGACTCTTGGACATAGCCTCAAGGCGAGCGCCAAGGGCCAATTTCTTGTTGCGAGTGATGGACGTCTGCGTTTCTGTGAAAGCGGCGTGGGTGGCGGGCAATTCGCGATGTGGACACCCCTGTGGTACCATGCAATGGAGAATGGTGGTTCATAGGGCATCATAGGGCTAAGTTCATAAGGGCCTCCACTGAAAAGAGGCAAATTGACTCATGCAGTGCGGGGTCCAATTCGTTTCTTGGGTCCCCTCGATTGGGGTTTCGGATCACTTTGTTTGGCTCGGGTGTCTCAAGCAAAGGCCAGGATTCTTTGTTTATCGATGATGCTGGTTGCATCCGGCCTTTTGGCCCACATCCAGAATCAAGAAGACCGGCAACTACAAAGCCCTGGGACCTCATTGTAGACCCCTCATTCCGGCCCATCCTAGACCTGCGATAATTATTGACAAACAACTGCATTTGCACGGTCACGAACCCTGAAACTCTTGTGCTTGACGGTCTCGGGAGGTCGTGACGACCTAACTCGGTGTGTGGCTCCGGTCTCGTGTCGACTTCGGCGACCCGGCAGGAAATTCCCACTTCACTCCGATCTGACGAAGTGGAAGTGGAGAAACGATGAGAAACCCCTGTTCGTACCGTGATCTTCCAAGGGAACTTTCCAGGTGACATGTCTGCCATCCTGAGCTCAATGCCTCTGGCTGACATGTCTTCCGTGATCTTCCGTGTCGCAAGCACCAGGCCCGGCCCCTTGCTGATCGGCCGTTTGGGATCGACGGATGGGGCGACAGTGGTCGATTCGATGTGTGCCCAGTCCGGACCTGGAAACACATCGCACGCCAAGGATCTCTTAAGGTTGGAGAACTCCTGCTTCATTCCTAGAAGTCGAAGTGCGGTGAGAAGGCACATGAAGGCATGTGAAGCCACGTGGTCTGAACACCCAAACCACCGTGGAAAAACGTCTGAACGGTCCAATTTCTGCCCAGTCTTTGAGGACATCTGCAGTCTGCAGGCTTTGGTGATGGCAAGGTGCAAACAAATACTGGGACCTTCGTCTGATCTTTGTCTGTTATAATCTTCCCCACCTGTCAGGTGAGGCCCTGTCAATGTACAAGTCGCAGCCGTGATGTTGTTGTTTTCCGCACATGAGTCGCAAACAGAATTTGCATGAGTCGTGCCTGTCGACATGAAACCATACCTTTTCACATGATTCATCCGGAAAGCCCACTGAGACCCGGCCAATGTGATCCTCCAGTCTGCCTGATTTTTGGCAAGCAGTTCTTGAACCAAAGGACAGGCCAGCACCCTCCCTGCAACAATCATGGAAGTGGAAAACGGCCTGTTTGTGAGGGAAAAACTCCTTCTACTCCTTTGAGGAAAGTGTTCCATGTCCATGTTGGTTGAATGGAGGGCAAGCGTTTAGGCTTGATGTTTGCGCCCCCACGTCCAATGAATCATTTCATGCATATCTTAAACATTACTGACCATCCATCCTGTGATCAACATGACCACTTGGATGATTTTAGGCCAAGAAACATAGCGGTCGAAGGGTTCCGGTGATAATGGTGATATAACAATAAGCACACCGTAACGTTCTTGGAGCCAGTTCACCAGAACGCCTCCCCTTCGCAAGACCTGAAGTTCTATCCATCAATCATCCATCAGTCACATTTTTCGCTTCCAGCCCTTCAACCTGCAACATTTGCAACATCTGACTGCCAAGATCAAACAGTTTCTCAGCGGATCACTGTCCAACATTGTCTTACAACCCCCATGAGTTTGGGCCGGCTAGAGCCCTTTAGCCTTTCCCCACACTCTCCGCAGCCCTTGTTTCTGTACATCACCTCACAACCCTTTGTGTTGAAGCCTGCAAAAATCTTTTGTTATACGGTTATACGTATACTAATATACTGTATTTGAATCAATGATCTGAAGTTTCTGTCTGCTTGCACCCCCTTTCACAGGTGCACACACACACACACTTCCCAAACCAGCATGCCGCAAACCGCATGGTGCCCAAACCCATGCCGAGCATCTCAGCATCTCCATCCCATTCTCGCGTGAACTGCCCTTGCAGCCATGCCAGGGGAGCCGGCCAGTGGCAAAGTAGATAAGGACCTCAATTTCAGTGCAAGATTGTTTTGCCTCTCAGGAGTGTGGCCTCCCAGGAGTGCGATTGCAGGTGGTGTGTCCACGTGGAAAATAAAGAAACAACATGACACAAACACAAATCCACAACCCAGCGCCTCCACCTACCTGCAGTTGGACTGGAAGATTTCATAAGATGTCATGAACAAAATGCCTGGATCGACTCTCTTAAGCCAGCCACGTCACTTGGGCCAATCCAAAAACATATAAAGTTGACTCCACTCTCCCCTCCCTGGTGTTCGGAACCACCTCCTCTGCCTTCTTGCCACCCGAACCATCCGGGCGGCGTAGGCCAAGCTTTCGAGGTCGCAGCGGGGGGAGCGCTCGCCGTCGTGCGCCGCCCGCGCGCAGTAGCGCGTGGTGCCGACGCAGCGTGGTGCGCGGCTCGGAGCGCGCGGGTCGGAGGGGGGAGAGACGTAGAGGCCGTTCACGCGGTAAGGGCCTCAGGATGGAGGAAGGGAAAAGGCAGTGCTGCACGTGGTCTGATTGAGGAACTGAAGTATGGCATTATGTTCCTTTTATGTTTTTTTCAGGCAGAACCCTGGATAACTAGCCCTCAATGGCCATTCACCGAGTGATCTTCCATCGGGTCAAGCATTGAGAGACTGCGAGCAAGGGAAAGAACATCCCTGGCTTGATTCGAGTCTTCTTGTGCAAATGGACGCAAGCAGCCTAGTGGTTCCTCTGAATTGGTCTCTCGGTTTCTATGTGCCACCGGCCTGGCGTTGGCGGCGTTGCAAAGCCTTTTTCTTGTTGGTCTTTCATCTCAGGGCTGCATACAAGTTGTCTTCATGCGCTGCTGCAAGGGGCGTTCTCAAGTCCGAACAAAAAACTATATCAGTTCAAGTTCCAACCACTAGCCACAGTTGCAACAAAACGCACAACGTTCAAGTCGTCGGCTTAAGGAAGCCATCACGGTCTGTTTGCCGAATGAGTTTTTGCCGTCTGAATGAATGATCTTGATGTTTTCAGAGGGCAACACCTGCTGCTAACAACCTGATTTTTTTGCAACATGAACTGGGTTTTCCTGCCCAGGAAATCTGACCTACAGGACCTCCGTTTAAAAAGTCCCGTTCGGAACATCTTGGAACCGTCTACAGCATGTCCTCCCTTTCATGAAGGAGGAACAAGTTGTGGCTGTGAACAAAGAAACTCAGCTGGCAAGCTTCAGCTCTCGCTCAACCTGGCAACCCCCTCCCCGCCCAAACAAAATTGAACTACACCTATCCCTCTATCCTTGGGAATGGCCCGAGCCATCCGGCGAAAAACAACCACCAACTCTCGCGCCCCGTCGATCCTTGATCAAAACATCCACACGGCCATCCACACGGCCCCAGGCACGGCAGCATCCAAAGTCGATCAAGCGCACCGTCAGGCCGTCCGCAGAGGCGACGACAGCAGCGACGGCGATGTTCTTCGTCTTGAGATCTCCATGTGATAAGTTCAACCTGGGGGGCTCAAGGGCGACCACGAGTTCCGGAGAGGGGAGGGTGCTGTTCGCTGGACCGTCTAGGTGAAGAATCTGACTCAACTAAATGGTAAGAAACAGCAAAAAGAATGAATGACCAAACGGGTGCTGGAGGACAAGAGGTGAGATGTGTCTGTTTATGTCTTTTTTATATTACCTGTTCGTAAGCTTGAGAAATGACCCACTCTGCAGGTTTCAACCCCCATCAGGAATCATATATGATGCAAATATGATGCAGTAAAGCAAATACACGGTTGAATCGAAATACCACAGCCCCTGAGATCTGCAACAAAATGCAACAAACACACACCTTGCGCCTCACATGTGTTCCAGAAGCTTCAACTGTAGCCCAAGTCGCCGATGCATCTGCTCCAGCTGACTCAGCAACTGCACACCCACCGAGCAGATCAAAGGAACCTCTGCATCGAAAAAACCTCTGCATCGAAGGCGAAAGTCCTCCAAGCTTTGGAGGAAACGTTCCATGACCTCGGAGATCACACGTTCCCATGTACTATGGGTGAACCGGACCAACAGGGGACCCGACGTTGGTTCCCGCCGAACATGAAGAGAAGTTCGACGACTAAGACGTCTGGAATGTCCTCAAAACCAACTTTTTGAGAGTTTCCAACAAACACATCTGACCTTTGTGCTCAAACAAATCTTAACAAACTGTTCAATTATGTTATTCATAAAGGGGAGCTTAGTTCATGCGCACTGCACGAACGTGTTCGTCCTTCAAAAAAAAGTGCGGTCGTGTCATCGCAAGCGGCGTTTCTTCCCGGGCAATGACCATCGACGTAACTGCAGTGGACTGGTGGTGGAAGTTGGTCAAACTCAACAACAGAGTCCAGGTCGACCCCGACATGTGGGGGTCTACAAAGAGGGAACTTCTCTCACATGAGTCAGCCCTGGGCCCTAGCCTGAGAAAACCCAGGTTGCCAAGCCAGTGGAAAATGAGTGAACCAGTTCCTGGAGCTTCATTCCAGTCAACATCAGTCAACCTTCTCTTTCGCAAGTTCTGCAGTTCCAAGACCGGAATCCTCTGGACCTCAAGACCCAAAAACACGTGTGATGTTATAGTTATAGTACTGGACTCAGAGATAGAATATGAACCAAATCCAAAAAGCTATTTGGTCCATATTCTAAGTGCAAGCAAAGTGAAGTTGCAGTTACACAAATAGAATATGCATTTATGAAATATATGTTGTTGAGTTGATTGATCCACAATAATAGACACGTCAATCGCTGTTGGTTGGACAAGCTGCCATAATCTGATTGCTCTTGGCTGTCACAGTACGAAAATGTACGATGTAAGATCAGCATGACCGCAGCAGCATGTATGTTTTATTTAACAGCCCCAAATATTCTATGTGCAAAAAATGTTCTATCTGCACACTTCAACATTATTCATTTTTTGAAAGTACTTGGAAAACTTATATGCAAATAGTGTTTCATACTCTATCTAGTCGTCCGTCACTATATATACAAATATATTATATATATACATCTAGTTATTCATAAATTCTATATTAATTATATACCTTTGGAATCCAATACATTCTTTTTGTATGACGATATGTTTATGTAGCAGGCCTCCCTAGGCTGAGATCCACTTCCGTTTGTTGGAACACAGGTTCACTTCACTTCAAAGATCTTCAAAGACTTCACTCCTCCTCCTTCACCTCAGCTTCCACGCCTTTCCCACGGTCTGGCGGTGTTTGTTCCGTTACGAACGTCACCGGGTCGAACGGAACGGTCCCCGTGTTCCGGTGACTCCGCCAGGGTGCCAGGAACTCCATGTCGCCCTCCACGAAGAGTCCAAGGAATTCCTGGGGGTGGAAACACCAATGGGCTGACGACACGATGTGGTTGGGCCAAAAGACTTCATCTCTACAAGTCAATGATCTCATTTTACTGAAGTGTGGTCATACAAAAACACTACTGGAGGAGGTCAAAGACCTGGTTTGGACCTGGGTCAGACTGGACTTGTGGGGCATGGAAGATAGGTATGTATATTTTAGTAGGGGGACCTCCCAACCCGGTAGACTATGGTAGACTGGTCTATTTCTGGTTGGTGTTTTCAACACACTTGAACAATATGAGTCAGAGGGTCCTTCTTCATCCCCAAGTGGTTGGGTTGAACATGAAAATATCCGAAACCATCACCTAGATTTCCCTTCTTCCAGGGGGTCGTTGCCTGGGAAATCTCCCTATTTTGATACACACCCATATATCTAGATGTGGGGATCGTTGACCCACAAAACATAAGCAAACTGAAACCTTTCAGTTTCCAGTCCCATCACTTTCCATTCTTTGGAATTGATATGTGGTCATATTGACATGGTAAACAATGGCAAAGCATGATGGTTAGTTTGGGCATGATTCTCTAAGTGTCAATAAGAAAGATGGCTCAAAAATGAGTTCGTATCGAAACAAGTGGCAAAACCTGATCTATGGTCTGCCGGACTATGGATCCCGTTTGAACCTGCGGTGGGAGATATTTGATCCACTAACATGTCCAACAGAAATCCATCCCCCTCCGATCGTTGCCATCCGATCGTGCGCCGACCTCTCCGGGGAACAGAAAGCACCGGTGAATGCGATGGACCCGGCCGAGCTCGGGCCGTGTGAATGCATCGGCCACCCGGCCTTGAGGTGGTCAAGGACTCCATCTTGCGACCAATCCGGGGGTTTAGACAGAGACAACGCGCCACCGGACTCCATAGATGGGGGGTGCGTACGAGTGAGATCCTCAAGGCGACACCCAGGAAGGAAACGGGTTCCATAGATGTTCCCTCACTAAGACGGAAGGTTGTGAGGGTGTTCCTGACGTTCCAAGACTCCAGCAAGTCTGGACATAAATTCTAGTGCGAAAAGAGCACATAAAGCCAACTCCCCCTCAACACAAGAATTTCAACTCAGCTCCCACTTCTTTTGAACATCCGCTTTTGCATCCTTCCGTTCGTAAACTCTCCAGTTCTCCTGCATCTTTCTCCACCGGGTCACCGGAAAAAGGAACAGACGGGGATTCACACATACCCAGACACTCTATGCCTACATTGACCCCCCTGGCACCATCCCTGGCCTGATCGGCAGTCCGGACTGGCAGTCCCAAACGGTCACGTTTGGGAGAGCTAGGGAAGACCTCGACGAGCGCCCGTTCGACACGGCCAGGCTCCGGAAACACCGAGCTCTTCTGCAAGATCTTCAGTGCCATAGCCTCATGCCACAACTCCGCCGCCGCCGTGTCCGTCTTCAGGCGCGTCTTGGCCACACAGCGACGGCCAGTGGCACACTCGGTGACCTGAGGAGGGGGTGAAGCACGAATCTCCAACCCAAATAGGCTCCAGTCACACCTTTCTTGGAGCCCTGCGGCAAGGACTTTGACCGAAAAGCTAGCTAAAGACTTGGACCACAGGTTTCTGAAGCTTTCCGCTGCAGGAGTGTGATTTGGGCATGGCCAACAGCTGTTGATGGATAAGTACTCCTTGACTCATCTCTCTCTCTCTCTCTCTCGCTCTTTCTTTTGTATACTTGCTGAAAAATCTGCAATTCCTTGACCCTGACGATGCCCTTTCACCTCCAAGACCTTTTCGAGGAGGTACCTGGACCCTTATGGGACAATGTCGATGCGTCAAAAACCACGAGGGTTCGACTCAAGGCCCGGAGCCTCCAGCACTTTTGAGAACCTTAGTCGGCGCAGTGACGTTCTCATCTCCTCGAAAGTGGACTTCTTTCGCTTTTCTGGAAGTGGACAACCCCTGCTTGTAGAGGGAAATGGCCTTTCCAGGGGCTAGGACGTCCACTTCGATGATTGATGGAGGAACGATGCTGCTTGTTTCCTCCTCATCTGAACTCCCAACACTGTAGCCAGGCTTCTTAGTCACCCCAAAACATCCCCAAACCACTGGCTTCAGGTCCATGTCATGATCCAAATCTGCTCCACATTTGGGTGCCAGACAAGGGGGCCAGGGATCCGGACCAACGGACGATCGGCCCCGTCCCAGTGATGTGTCCGGAAAGAAATCGGTCCACGTGCTCACAAAGAATCGCCCCAGCTCGAGCTCCATGGTGACCATGTTTTGGGCAAGAGATCACCAAGCTTGGATATAAATCACCATTAGATGGAATAGTTCGCCAAGGGTCTGGCTCGGCGGTATGAAATGAAACCCCCAAAAAGGCCACCTGGCAGGGAGCACCATGCCACCTGACAACACTAAAGAAGCTGAGGCAAGGAACTGCCCCTGTCCCAAGAGCTCTCCAAAGGCAAAGTGCTTGGGCAACTGGGTGAGCAAATCGTCGGGCTTCACCGCCTAAGAGAGCAAAAGAAGAAGACCTATATAGAAGCCGAGTTCACCGCGTCCGTTTGGTATTGGGAACGTGTTCCAGTCCTTGCATGCCAGCTTCCATGCGGGTCTTCTTTCCCAGAAGAGCTGAAGTCTTCGGAAGAGCGGAAGTGTGAAGCAAATTGGCTTTTTGGAAAGGTCTTTGGTTGGCTTGATTTTGGGATGTGTCCATTGAGTTCCGAAGGCAGTTTCCAACCTAGCGACCTAGTTTGGTTGCAGGCAACAGTATGAAACAAGTTGGTGAAACAAACTGGGAAATTCCTACTCCCTTCCCACTTTCCACACCTCTAGGCAAGGACGGGAATGAGATGGCAAGGGGTGAAAGGGTGACCGCATGAGAACATGCAACATCTCTTGCCAAACAAGTGAGCAAACACGGCATACCACGACCACCCCGGAGGTGAGTGATTTCTGCCCACCATGTTGTCAGAAGAACCAAACGAACAAAGGTTGAAGAACCCCGTTCGGTACCCCAGGTGACGGCCCTATTTACGGTCACTTAACCGCTCTTGGTGATCGAACCCTGCACCTGGAATTTTTGCTGAAAGGCTTGCCCTTTGGATCCCTTTAGTACCTCAAAGCGTTGGGATGAATAATATGTTCATCACTCCTTGCCGATACAAAATGACAGAGTGATTGATGGACACAGGGTGTCTTGCCTGAGAATGCGGGCCAATTGATTGGATGAGATGTGCAAAAATAGGAATCTGCGGGTGTCCAAATGTCAAAACCTCTGGTGTTCGTGGAGTGCCTGACCCCCTGAGAGGCTTGGCAACTGACCTCTGGATGGTTGGAATCCCCTGCCCTTCCCGCACGTGCGTGCGACTCAGTGACTTTACCAGCAACTGACGTCGCCAAGGAATTTTGAGTCACATCCATTGAGGCAAATTATGCAAAACATTGCAAAACCATCCAGGTTGCTGAGCCTTGCTTGAGAATGCCAGGATGAGGCAAAGACAACACCCAACGCGCTACTTAAATTTCCAAACGCAACGCATAGATACGCAAAGCATACCGAACACACCACGACTTCTAGCGTTCCCAACATCCCCAGTGCGGCTCGACAGCTCTTAACATCCCTTAAGTCCTTCATGGAAGACCCACGGACCCACGATCGATGCCATCCCGAGCGTCCCAAAGGACAGCCACCTTGATGCCACTCGGGGCCGACACTGCTGGATGATCTTTGTCCAACAGAAGGACCCTGACACGGGCCGAACAGCGAAAGACCCTGACATGGGATGGCCGATGATGGCCGGCCAAGTGAGGAAGGAAGTGAATGGACATTAACAATCCCCATCTATCCCCCCAAACAGATCCAAACAGTGTGTCTAAAGGTCTACGGTCTGGAGGTGTAGAAGCAGAAGGTCTAGAGATCTAGACGTGTTTTTGGTTCCAGGGAGGGGTGGGTGCTGATGGTGTTGATGGTGGTGGTGGTGGTGATGGTTCACAAACTAGGTTTACAATTGAAGGTCTAGGTCCAGAGATTCTCTACCAGTAGAGGTGGGGGAGAGGTCTAGAGATCTAGGGCTGGAGGTGTAGAGACCACAAATGGAAGGACATGTAAAAGCACACGCATGAGAGCACACACATATTCATGAGAGCGTACGAAACTTGCACTTCAAGGTGTACAAAGTGCCGCGCCTGCGCTTGCCAGGAAATCTGCAATCCGCATTATCCAGATTCACATCGCCCAGCCCTGCCAAGGCGATTCAGCTGCCACCAAGACCGTGATGCAGCACCAAAACCAATAGAATGCGCGTCACAGCACGCCAGGAGACATGTAGTGCGACCGCCCTGCGTACTGGTCTCTGCTGGTTGTCAAGCTGCTCGATCTGGGCCTTATGATCTACTTGCCTTGGCGAACGCGGCGGTGGCATCAGACTGCGTCGCTTGCGTCGCTGGCTGTGGCGAAGATCCGGCCTTCACAGAGCGACACTGCCGCCTCAAGAACTGCGAGGAATCACGCCTCGTTGGCACTGCCTGGCGTGTTGCACCAGCTAGGGGTCCCAACACGCAAGCGCTTGATGGCCGAAGCCGAATCCAAGTAGGTTGCGTGCGGTTTGCAACCTCACCATCCAAGGAAATCCGCGAGCCTTGGCGACTGCACCGGAGGAGGGGCCGGTCCGTCCAGGTCGCCGAGCGTCTGGCGGCAAGTGCCACGTCCCCAAGGGGATTCTATTGGCACGAAATGCCGACGGCTGCAGCATCCACCTGCAGCGTTTGCGGTGCCCGGTGACAGAGGCGTCTGCATGAGAGCCGTCTTTCCACGTAAGCCTCCGCGAAAGATGGCTTCGCTTGAGGAAAAACGAATGGAGCTTGTAAAGCCTGCGAAACCAGAGCCGGCCTTTTGACGAAGCAGTGTTTCTGATACAGGTTCAGCCTCTTGCATTTTGAGCGTGGCCTAAATAGACCTGTAACAGTTGCCTTGCGACAGGCGCACGGCAAGCTAACCCCTTGTGGTCCCTGGAGTGTGAACATCTTCGACAAGCTTGCTGTCTGCGTTCTGAAACCCATCTTTCACAGCTGGAGGACGCGATTGAGCGACCCACACAGGTCTCGAGACCAGGAACCTGGTGAACGCATCGGCGCCACGGTCGCGCGATAGCCCCCGAAGCGGCGGAGTAGGCGCCGCGCCAGTTGGGCCACCCCATAGGCTCTTCCACAGAGGTGGGGTTGCCAATGGCCTTCAGATGGTTGACCACGACTCCATGGTACGAATCGATGGACACCAAATGACACCAGGCTGTGTAGAGGAACATACACTTGAAACCGGACAGCGTTGACACGTCGACACATGGTCAAGCTTCAGTGGCAACTCCCTGGTATATTGCAATCGATAACAGAAAAAACGGTCGACCTTCTCGAGTTCATACTGCTAAGATCTGGAAGGCAAGGTCAACTCATGTTGGGCCCAATCTGAGAATCTGCCGGGCTAAAAGTGAAAAATGGTCCCAAGTTTCATGATAATGTCCATGGCACCATCACTTTCCACAAATCGTTCAATCATTTTGAAGCCACGAGGTGATCTTGAGAGTGCAAGAATGATTATATATATACATGGCTCAAATGGAACACAATTACCAGGGCCCCCAGTCGGAGTGGTTAATGGATACCCCTTAACCTCTAAGGAGCCATAATTAGACACCTCTTGAAGATTCCTGGTATACACATTCTCAATTTTTTCCGAGGAAACGCATGTTTTTCGTCGCATCGCTGTCGGTGTCGATGGCGGTTCCCAGGCACCTCTGTCCTGTCTGGACACCCAGCAGCAGCCGTTGTCCGGGCTCGGACGTTGTCACATGCACCGCATCGCGGGCACGATGTGCAGCCAGGTGCACTGCCGTTGGACCATGGAGGCCTTGCAAGACGGTTTAGGTGGAGGTGGAAGTACTTCCTGAGGAAGGTCTTGGACCTTAGGGTATGCCATAAATATGGGCCCCAGGCTCAATCAAGACAGAATATTATGATTATTAAGTCTACATTGAGCCCTGTTCAACCACCCCTATTTGTACCTAAAAAGGTCAAATGTCAAGAGGATATCCACTGACTGGGGCTCTATATCTTGGATTTGCTATCCAGGAAGCCGGGAAAAAGTAAAACATATATTCCCCAGGGAAGTTAACCATAGGGGGGAAAGACAACCACCTGATCAGCCAAACCAGGATATAGTTCCAGCGGTTTCTCAACACTCGTGCCCTGCAGGCTCACCCCATGAGTTCCCCAGCCCCGCTCCACCGCCTTCGGCAGCTGCGGAGACTTGGCTCACGGGGTCGCCTGCGGTGTGATGAGGGACGCACGAACATCACATGCAAGTGGAGTGGAACACCCCTGTGTGTAAAGGAAAATGGTCTTGCCAAGGGACCATGCCATCCACTTCCATGTTAGTAAGTTGGAGTGTACCATCGTTCTTTTTGGTTCGGCAAACTTTGAGGCATGGCCAGGTTTGGGTACATGAATAGATCTGAGATGACCTGAGTAACCTCAATTTGTTGGCACCAATCATCCAAAAAATTGGGCGTTCCTGCCAAATAAGGTCAAGAGTCGAGTGAGTTCTCGATGGCCTTGGAATGCATCCCAAAGCCGACATTCGCATTGGCCAAGCCACCGTGCTACAGCAATAGTTATTCTGTTTCTCACTCACTGCTCAATTGTCTGTGTCCTCCCTCCCTCCCTTCTTTCAGTGTTTAAGTGACTTGAGTGGTCCAGTTTGCCAGGAATCTGGATCAACCACCTCTGAGACTCACTCAACTCAAGTCTCCTAGACCTACAAAAATGGTCACCCTCCCACACCGCCCACCGACCGAGGAAAACGACGCTCCTCGCCGAGGGACGACTCTCATCGGGATCGAAATCAGCCAAGTCGGCGTCTGTCCAGGTGAGCCATGGTAACTCCTGGAACATCTCGATGGGGCGCCATGTCAGGGACTAAGGCAACCTGCAAATGCTGATTTACAAGTATTTTCTTTGATGACTTGAAGAGTGCACATTATATATGTATAATCAGCTTCAGTTGAACAAAAGGGCCTGCCTGCCAAAAAGATTTGGGGAAAACACTTTCCTCCACCAGTTTGGAATCGGGAATCCGGCAGTTGTATGGCTTGCCCTACCGCTGTCGACACTGAGCTGAAGCCAAATGTACGCAAAATCATCAACAAATCAACAGTCCTCTTTCTGATCAGGAAAAAGGACACTCTTTTCATGGCAAGGTTTGTGTGGGTTCGTTTTTGGCGTGTCGGTGTGTTCTCGGAACGTTGTTTGGCACATACCTCGCATGAGCAAAACACCTGGAGCCTGGTGTTGACCCATCTGGTATCGCCGGTGGCAACCGGTGCTGGGCATGCGTCTCACCTGTCAGTGACCCGGTCATCGGTTGGGAGAACATGTCTCTCGTCCCTGGTGTGACGCATGGGTTCATGCAACAGTCAGTTCGAGAGGGACACATGGGGTGTTCACAACCTCAAAGAGCTTCGAATCCCGAATCACGCCGTTGAAAGGGTCTCGGTCTTAGCCCAATCCCCGAGTGAATCAAATGGTCATCAACAAGGTGAGAAAAGCAACCTATGATACCACTTGCTAGTGCAAAATTGATACCCCTGTGCAAAACTACAAGTAACATGCTTTGTACATCGTCCACATCCGGATGTTGAAAATTCTTCTCAATAGCGCTCACTCAGGCAGCCAACCCATGAGGCCAAGAAGTCTGAGTCCTAAGCAAATCAGATTCCCCTGCCTCCCGGGAGCCGGGAGCCCCGACCGGATGACGCCGTGCTAACAACATCTGTGCCACAGCACTCTGACCATGCCTGGACGGCACATCTCTCGGCTCCCCACAAAAGAAACCGACGCGCCGCAGGTCGCCCACAAAATTCCCTCCAAAATCTCTGAAAACTCAATTTTTTGGTAGGTAGAGAGGTTTTTGGGAGTGTGCTCGAGACTTGGGGATTTGCGCAAAGAGTTTGTGGGAGACAAAAATCAAGAAACCGCGCTCTTCTTGCAGCGTAACGGAGCAGGATCTCTTCTATGGACTGGTACTTCCAACCCGCCTGAACAAATACTCCTGGGAACGAAGCTTGAGTGGATAGTTTTCAGGTGCTTGAGTTTCTTGAGTGGATGGTTTTCATGTTTCTTTTTGTCAAAGACCTAAGAATAATAACACACATGCTGAGACTGGTCACGGTCATGCAGCATTACAAAAGTGCAAAGTAAACACCTACAACATGAAAATGCCTTGAAAGTGATAGGCTGGCTTTGTAGATCTCTTTATGGCACTTCAGGCTGAAAACCGCAGCACCCTGCTCCACAAAACAAGGCTACCCGGTTCGAGCTCAGGATCCACGTGCTATAGTCGAAGCCGCCGGACCCTGGGCCCCCAAACCATGCAGCCGTATGAAGGAGACTCTCCCCGCTGGGGAGGAGGTCCTGAAGAAAGAAAAAAACACACGTGCAGGCGGGCCATGATGGATGCCGGATGGATTCCAGAAAAAACAGCAAACACTGCTGTCCCCAAAGTGTGGCTGAAAAAACACGCCAGCCTCTGCTGGGCTTTGTGAAAAAATCAGTGGATGGGGCCGGATAGTTCCACCGGTTTTTCAGAATCAGTAGCGGCAGAGACTCACCCTGAAAGCTTCCACCCGGCCAATACAAACGTTGTCGGCAATACCGTGGTGAACCACTCCGTGAATGGCTGAAGGCGAACATGTCTCCCATACCTTTTCACCACCTGAATGACCTCCTTTTTGGACCACCAAGCTCCCCAAAATTTGGTCCTTTCCAATCAAAACAGGTGGTCAAATGGGTTTCCAGGCGTGTGTGCATATATACAGTATATATATATACATACACGATATCCTAAGTATCTGTTTCTGTTCATCAATTTCTTTGGTCACATCTCTCCAACCACTCAATTTCACCAGGACACACCTTCCAAGTTTGGACCCACCATTGGACAACTTCTTGGGGTCTCACAAACAAATCATCTGATCATCTAATATCGGCACATCATGACGCATCCAGTACAATACATCATCTGTCCCTTCCAACTGTTCGAAACCACATCCAAAACCTTTTCATGCACCAAGACCTTCCACCCTCCACGAACCACGCGATCTCTCCTCGATGAGTTGGTTGCCGGCTCGGTCACCCAGGAGCCGTTCCAGCACTCCCAAGTCGCCCTGGAGGACAAGGGACTTCCCCCGATCGTCCCGTTGTTCGCGGGGTACGACTGGTCTATTGAACCGAACCCAAGGGAAAGCGCTTGAAAGAAGTGTGGAAGACAGGCATATAGGTTGGCTGGCATGTCTGACAGGTGGTTCCAGAGGTCCATTGCAGGGAGCTCATGGGCTTTATAGGTGAACAGGGGAAGCCTGGAAAGTTGAATCTCACACGTCTCATGAGTCATGTAGCCTCTTGACTTGATAAACAACACGTGCATGTAAGCCCTTTTGTATAGGGGGTCCTATTAAATCAGAAGTCGAGATTCAGGATCTACTATGATCTACTCGCCGATGGACAGATCTCAAATCGGTATATAAAATACTATACGCTTTTGCTCGTGTCTCTCCACTCCTTCTTCAGGTCAATCTCCTTCTCCCCAGGCTGATCCAGGAAATCTTCCCCACCCTTGTTACAAGGCCCAACCGGCCCAACCTCCCACGATCGGTGAAGTGGACCTGGCTGCCAAACCCCAAACATACCCCCAAAACGCACCCATGCGCCTGAAAGGTTGACCATATATACATATATATATATACCATCATATATATCATATACTATCATCCTACATACATATACCATCATATAGCGACCCAATCTGACACATCTGAATCGCCCCCTGGGCCTTGAGAAACGGACCATCTTCCAAAAGGCCGATCCAACACCCCCCCGGTGCCGATCCACCGCACCTCGCGCGCAGCACGGAAGAGTGCCTGATCGGCATGGGCCTGGATCACACAGGCAGGCGTGGGAAATGAGGTTGGCAGGGACGGTTGGCGGGGCTGTTGGTCTTGGAGACTTCAGGAGAAAGATGGGAGTACTATGGAGCACTCGTCATGGCCAAATGTGAGATGGCATGATGTATATTACGTGGCACGTGGTGATTGACCTTTCATTTAAACTCCTTTTATTGATATACTTGTAAATTCCTTGTGATTCAATCTTGATATATTAAATTATATATATATATGTTCCTCTTCCAACCTGTGAATCTTCTATTCTCTTCCCCCGTCATTCCCCGCTGGGAACAGCGCCAACTCTAGTATATAATATTGTAATTTGGCAAATTCTAAACTCCTTTTGACTCCAAATGATTCCAGTTGTGTCTTTGTAAATTCCTCGCGATTCCCTTTAATAATCCTTTTCGAACCCAGTTGATCTTTTAACTACTCGTGGGTTCCCTTTCAATTTATCGTAAAAACATATGTCTATTGCACAAAGGAGGTAGCCCACTACTACGCTAGAAAAACAACGACACGTCCTCAGTTCGCCCATGTTTGAACCCTTTCACCAGCAGTTCAGGTGTTTTTCTGTTGAAGCCCATTGCTTGATGGGGGGCCTCCCTATCCCATCACCGTGGTCGCCCGTGAAGAACCCTTCACCAGCAGTTCCGTCTGTTCACCCATGGGGGTGTGCTGGATGGGGAGCTCCCTCTCACCGAGCTTGGAAGGATCTAGGTGACAGCAGCAGCTCCGGAGAGTCCAAGGACTTTTTCGTAGGGCTGGAACCATTTGGGATCAGTGAAATGAAGTGAACCAAGAAAGCACAGTTGAGACTTAATTACAGCCAACCCCCAAAATCAAAGTAACAAAACATCGAAAACATGGCCAACTGACCATGTCACCCGATCTATCCATATATTTACAGTATTGGGAGCACACTGGGCGCCCACAACAGCCTCTCTGGTGAGACCGCACCAGCACGCCCGCTCGACCGGTCGATGCCGCGCCCCACACGGGGCACCCCAACGGCAGGGTTCAAAGGTGGCCCACCTGTCATGGCCGCGGAATCGCGCAACCAGTGGACAGTCGGATGAATCTGGAGAGAAGCCACAGGTCTAGTGAGGAGGGTGCGGAGGCCACATGATGAGTTCGAGGACGTGTTCAAAAAAGGGGAGCCCACCAAAGGTCTCCCCGAACACCCAAACTGACCTCAAAAGTCAGAAATCAACATCCCAAAGCATACCCAAACACTCCATGAATGTATGCCATATATGCCGCTCAGTTGGAGTGGTTGACCTGGGTTCGGCAGCAGTCCTATGCCAGTTCCCATGGAGTGTCTGGTGTGTCTGGGTCGGATGCGCCGGACTCCGCCGGACTCCAACGGAACCGGCCACGTCGGTCGTTTTCGCCCGGTCCTCTCCGGCTCCTTTGGCCGAGTGTCGGAACGCAAAGCGAAGCGAAGCTAGGGGTTGAGCCGCTCAGCGCCGGATCAAGCGAAGCTAGGAAGTGGAATGCAAAGAGGGGTGAATCCTGGGAAATTGAAAAACACTCCGGTGTGTTTTTGGTGACATGCTTTCTTTGAAGCATGACTCAGAATGACTGTTATATATTTTGAATGGCGTGTCCTAAACGGTCCGTGCAACACATCTAGCAGGATTTCCACCGCGTCAACCGTATTGCTTGGTGGCTGCCAACTGCTTAACAGGCATGATTGCACCTGACGATTTTTGGAGGTGGTACTTCATAATAATATATACGATAGGTCTTAACTGTACTTAATGCGTGCAAGATCCAAGGAAAACCATTGCTTCATCTTTTCCAGCCACCTCTGTAGACAGGAGTCTGTTGGTTGCTCAATGTGCTGCGATCACACCTTTGCCGCAAATCACCAAAGTGGAATCACCTCTTCGTCTTTCCACTCCAAGCACTTTGCAAACTAATCCCCAGGCCACTCGGTGCTCGCGTCGGTGCAACAGTCGTGATGATCAACTGAGAACCACCATGAGGAATGCTTCCGGGTAATCAGTGGTCAGACCTGGGAATTCGTGAGTTCCCCACATATGTGTCTTATGTTTCGTTAAAATGTCATGTGATCCGGATCTAATGCTCTGGACGAGATCGTTTGTTCTGTTTCTGCCAGGTGACTGTTGGACTTATTATGACCCATAAATTTATCGTCCATCACTCATGCATGAGCATCCATAAATCATCCGGTGCCTCAGAACGAAGATTCTCTTTCAGGAAACTTCACCACATCTTGGCACCGCTTGGCCGGTACGTCCCTCGCGAGGGTTGTAACTTGTGGAGCCTTCTTCTCACAAGCAAGTGATGTTTTTTCACTTCCAGGCGTGCTTTGCAGCGATGCTCCTCAAACAGGTTGATCCTCCCAAGGTTCCGTTCGCAGGTCATCCTCGGAATGTCTTCAACCAAACAGTCCAACCAACCGGCGCGCGTGAAGCCGCGGCCGCGCGCGTGACGCCTCGCCGGCCACCTGCGGCTCAGGGGTTCACTTCTCTCACTTCAGGGCAGCTGCATGTGCTCCTGCGAAGCGGGGGTGGGTCAGAGTCTGAGGGGGGGTGGGGGGGCAGGGTGAGGTGGATGTTGAGTGCATCCCTCCGTGATTGTGGGGTGTTGTAGGTAGAAGTGTATGGGTGTTTGGAGGGGTCTGTAGCAAGAGGTCTGTTTGATTCAATGGCAGCTTCCAAAATGTAATCAAACTTTAGAAATGCAACTCTGCGTTCGAAAGACGTGTTCCACATGGGCTATGTACTATGATCATGCGTTGAAGGTCACAAATCAACAACCCCTGCACTAGATCCATTACCTTCCGCAAGATATCATGTCATCAACGCTTTAGATCACTTTACTCTGCCCGTCTATCTTTCTTTCTCTCCCTATGATTACCCTCTCCCAGAGTTTGGTGCCTTGCTGAAGGTGAGAACACGTTTTCTCTGGAAAGTACAATTACCCTTTGCACCCGGCAGTGCAAAATGCGGCCACAAAATACGGCAACTTTGTTTCGTCAACATGAATCCCCTCCAACATTCAGTTATTTTTTTTCGCAGGAAAAAACTATACCTGCAGTCACAAAGGGGTGCTTAATGGAGGTTAGGGGTGCCCATTATCCACTCACTTAGGGACTAAAAAACACTCCTTTGTGACTCCTGGTATATATAAATTAATTAGTTACTCATAGTTACTCCATGTTACTCCCTTCAATCATAGAGGTGCCTCTGCCCAAGCATGCAAAAAAACAGCAAACAACAACAGTTTCCTCATGTTATACAACTGGTTTTCCGACATGTTTCCTCCATAGAGGCTCGGTGGCTCATCCAAGCTCGACCCACCCGAGCCACCCGCCTCGCGGAAGCACGGCAGCTCGTGCACGAAGCGCTTCTGCCGACCGCCCAGGTGCAGCTCATCCACTCGGAAGGGCACCACCAGGGCCACCTGGGTCTTTTTCGTAGGGAACTCTTTGGGTCCAAATGCTCTCTCAGGTGACCCACATTGAACCCCAAATGGTCCATGTCTCAAAACCCAAAAGGTTTGACTGAGATTGTTGTGTTTTTTTCTCCGGGCAAGTTGGACTGAGACAGAAAATTCTTGCCCCAGGCGCTTTGAGCAATCTAGCCGATTTACCCTGTTTGACCAGGGCCTCCTGGAGTCCCAACGTGAATGTTTGAGGCATGCGTTGAGGCTGCAAAATCGGAGATCTCTGAAGGCCACCAGAAGTCCAGACGGGCTCTGCTCAATGTGTTTGGCAAATCACTGTGCCAGCTGAGGATCATGAAACATCATCAACCTCAAGGTATACTACAGTAAATTATACCAGCATACCTGCCCTCCAACAACGATATAAGAGCTAGAAATCATGTATAAAACACACAAGAATGACCATGAATTACCTATAGACATCCCCAAGCCATTTGTGAGCGGAACTTCGTGACTTTCGGTCACTGCCGAGCGGTCGTGACGGGTCAGTCTTGCTGGCTGGTCGACCGCAAAGTGCAAGGGCTCGTCGTGCCCATCTGCGTCGGTCTTCACCTGTGCCCAGCGGTGCCCAGCGGTTTGGACCCTGTAAGACCTTATTCACTTGCCAGTCTCAGGTGATAAATCTGAGATGCGGTTGAGTAATTTGCGTAATTATAGCAACAATTCGCCAAGTATCGCAAAGCCCTGCACTGGCAAACGGTCTTCGAATTCTCGACTCCACTCAGCGGCTGCTAATTAACGACCAGGATGGCATTCCCATGCAAGTCATGCAGCGGTAAATGCCAAAACACAATTATCATCTTTAGACATCTCTTTGCCACTTTCTAGCCTTGACAATGCCTGGCAAGCAAGGATGGAGGATCATTTGGTTCTTATGGACCAAAGTGATCACTTTGGTCTCCACATGATTGAGGCTACTTGACACTGGACATAAACACATAAGCGGACAACATCTCTCTGACACACGGCTTTTCTGGCGGCTTCCCCCTCATGGCTTCCATCCAGGAAACTGCAACTCTCACAACATGGATCTTCTTGGGGAGAAAGCCTATGCAGCGACGTGGCTTCCTTGGATTTGGAGCATGGCCACAACCCCGTAGGGCGCAAGCAAAGCTGTGTTCACATGGCGGGTCTCCGACTCCAGGGAGTCGATAGCCAGCTTGGATGATGACTTTCGATGTGTCGCCCGCAGCTTTGGCCAGGGATGGTTTGCCATTCAAAAGCCTCGGCCTTGACCAGCTCCAGCTTGGTGTTCAATGGCCAGCTCCAGCTTGCAGTTGGGATCCAGGAGTGGAGCAAGTCGACTCCCAAATGAAACGGCCGCGAGGTGGTCGGCTTCAAAAAATGCGGAAGGGAGTCTTTGCAACAGCTCGAGTCAGTTCAGTGTCACTTTTGGTCAAGGTAATGCCCCCGCGCTGTCCTCAGTGCTGAGCCGAAGGGAGCAAGGTGAGCGCGATGAGGTGATTCTGGAAACAGTGAAACCATCAAAGTGGAGGCATGCTGGATTCTAGATAGACATGTTTTAAATGTTTATTGTAAGGAAGGACAGGGTGAAGCTATCACTCTTACAAAGAACCTCCTGTTACCCAACTTTTCACTACAACCTGCCAAATTTCCTGCTCAGGAAAGCAATCCAATGAGAACTCCCAGGACGCAGAAACGCACTTTTAGAACCCTTGGGTCCCAATGAGGCTGTAACCACTTCCATATATGACTTCTGGCCGAGCATTGAGATGACTTCTCAGGGAACCCGACATCTAGACCTGCCCTTCGTCCAACTAGTTAAGGCCTGCTTGGTCCAGTAAAGCCCCCACAAACACAGTGGTATCTCCAAACAGACATTATAATTGGAAAACAGGTTGTATCAAGTTAGTCTCTAAGCTGCACGTTGTATCTTCACAAACATATCTTCTCAAAAGCCTTTTCTCTACTTATTCGGCCATTGGATGGAAACAGCAATTGAACAATTATCATTGGCTCTTAGCATCAGCTGTTCTCCAGCAAGGCACTTCGCCATCATTGCACAGGAACCAAGCTGCTTTGGCAGGACCCTGAACACAAAGCAGCTCTGGAAATTCCATCTTCCAAGCCAAACAGAAACTTGGCTGCCTGGTTGACAGCAAACCTGGACAAGAACCTGTTCCGAAATCACCTCAACGACCCTGCAGGAGCTCTTGCCAAGTGCTTTAAAATCAATGCGTTGACTGCAAACCTCCTTCATGTCCAGGCTTCGTGCCGTCCACGCTGGCATGTTTGGGTTCGTTGGTTGGTGGGTTGGTGGGTTGGCTGGCCGAGGACAAACACAAATACATGAAGGATCATGCAGGCCTATGAGACCCCAAACATTGGAAGCAGTTGGTTCATGTTGATTCCCTTAGACCTGGTAGTTATCTGTTGTGGGTAATTCTTTTGACTACCTGTGGCGCGGAAACTGGAACAGCTTAGGAATCATCCAACTGCATCATGGGCACCGGTCTGAGACGATGGTGGACAGTCCAGGCTACGCCGGGCTACGCCACCTGGCCGGAGGAGATGGGTTTCTCAGGATCCAAAAGTGCCATGATTGAACGACGGTCACGGAGGGCGATCACAGTACGGAGGATCAATCACAGGTCACCGAAAAAAGAAAACGCACCACCAAAGTCATTCGGTCACGTCAGAATCAAGTACCCTACACCTCCAAGTACCTCCTCAGAAGGTATTTAGACCCTCCAAACCCACCCCAAACACCTTCTCAGAAGGTACTTGGAGGCCTAGGGGTATATAGGCAAAGCTCAAATTCCGTTCCTATTTTCCACTGTGCTGCTCGGTGAGGCTTTCATCAGCTTCAGTCCATGCAGGTCATCACCGATCCCGTTCGGGGATCTACCTACCAATCAAATCCACCCGGATAATAATCACCATCCTCAACAATAGAATTGTGAATGCCATCGGAGAGTTCATCAGGATTGCGAAAATCGAGTCCAAAGCCAAGTGGGCCAACGTCAGTGATCCTCACTCGAACTCGGGCGCTCCTCACATTCCCGCCACACCCGTCACCCTCGTAGTCTACTGGCAAGAGCTCCTTTAAGCGAGCACCTGTGATGACCGAAGCAAGCGACTCAGTTCCATATGCTGTCAGTCCTGGTTCGTATCGCTTCACGCTGGTCGAAACAAGTTCAGCCAGGTCCGGCCCTTGGGGTCCCATAGATCAACTTGCACCCTGCAAGTGATCGCTCTCACAAAGACGTTGACATCGCTACGCGGTATGCCGAAGTAGGCACCCACATCATAATCCACGTCATGGTCATCGTCTGGCATACAATCCAGTTTAAACACGAGTCTCGCTTCAAGGTTCATAATTTCAAAGTTGTAGTTATTGAAATTAAAAAGATACGGTTCGTCTTCATATTCATCATATTCACGCAGCCAAGATATACAATCGAGCTTCAGTGTGACTTGCCTTACTCCCATCGGCCTCTCACACGACCATATCATTGACTGGCCACCTTTCTCCCAAACCAAGCGCTTGCGAGAGCTCTTCTTCATGGATAGCACGAAACCATTAGCCAGCTTGAGGTCGTCACCGTTAAGTGAGATTGTGGTCTGGTCGTGGAAGAATTCGTCGAAGAATTCGTCGAAGATGCGATCACCGTTCTGATCAGCCACCCTGACACGGCTCTTGGAGGCCTCGTCAAAACAAAGAACACCCGTGAATATCTTTCAAGATGCGTGACTCGAAAGATAGATTCTTGGCACGAAGCTTTTGACACTCGCTTTTGACATCGATTCATTCCGAGTTTGATCGTCGGCATAAGTTTCCCGATCGGCAAGGAGATCGTACACTTGCTGCGCATACTCGGCACTCAAACTCTGCTCTGAGTCCCCCGAGTCCCCCTGTTCTTGAACAGATGCCTTGTACGCATCATCCTTTTTCGCTTTCGCCTGAACCTGCCACATCCGTACAGCAGGACCTCGCAAGTGCCCGGAGCAACGTGGCCCCGCTGCCAACGCCAGGCCGAACGCCACGCCGCAGGCCGCAGGCGCCACACCGCCGCGTCGGGAGCCCACTGCCCGGAGACTTGGGCTGGGGGGGCTGACGCAGGTGTTGGAGACAGGGTGCCAGCCGGGCAAGGGGGAAGGAAACAAGGCCATGGCTCGAAAAAGTAGGAACTGGGGAAACAAACACTGTTGTGATTGACAGGGTGGTTCAAGTGGATGGCAACAGGACGTCAACTGAGATCACGTGTGCTGGGGTATGAAAGTCCCAATGTCAGGGTGTTGTGCTGCATCACTTCCTTGACTGCAAGGTGAGACTTTGTGCGAAGGAGACCAATTGCATCCTTCTACTGTATCTGAAGGTGTTGACCCTTCTCCTTCAAGAAACACTTGGGCACCACCTGTTGGACCTTATTAGAAGCCACTGATGAGCCAAAAGTACAAGGAGAGATGGCAAAAGTGAGCTTTCCCGGATCCAAGAAACACAGCAAGCTCCAATTAACTATGTGACCAGGTTGATCCCTTCAACCATCTACCAGTAGAGTCAGCAGAGCACACTTGAGAAGGTTGCTCCGTGGAGCTTGTCTTCAGGCTGTTCGCGGTGAGCATTAGCACTTTACAATTACTGCAAATTAGACCTTGACTAAAGGAAGGTGCAAAGTCGGTCAATAAGAAGGTTTGAACACATCGAGTTAAACAATTCAAAACTGGTGCAGGTACGTTCGGATGATCAGTCCGAATATCCCACTCTGTGACCTAGCTTCGTTGAACTGGGTCAGTCACAGAGTGCCCAGTTCCCCTGCTGCTGAGTTTCTGTACAATGCTCTTAGTTTTCGAGCGGAAGCAGTAGAAATAGCTAGATTAATGCCCTTGGAAACAGGGGTGGACACACACACACACACTTCACAAACAAAAGCCTCAGAATGGGCAAAGCTTCGATAGACTGATAGACATGAGTGTAGCAGTCCTTGGTTGGACCCATTGGTTTCCCTCCATTTCGCCGCACCTCCATTTCGATGATGGGCGGTTTTGAGCCGCTGGGTCTCGTCCGGCACTCCGTCGCCACCTGGCGGGCTGGATGGCCGGATGGAGACAAGCTGACACAATGAGGGGGTTCACAGGATCCAAGCGCCATATATGCTCAGCACATATCTTACCCAAGAAATACGCCTGCTTCCGAGTCCTGACATCTCCTGACGCCACAAAAAACACCCCCTGTGAAAAACACAAGTCGAGCAGTGCTCGGTCAGTCAGGACCTCGGTGACCTCTTGTGGCAAAACACTTCAACTCTCTTTGCGTCCATTTCACTATCCCGCCGTTACACAACAGTGCCGCCTACTATGTGGCTAATATGCCATATGACTCCATGGGATACAGATCACGAAGAGGACGAAAGTCTTTCAGTACCCAGATTGTCAGCCAGATTCCGCAGCCAGACTGCAAGCTGAGGATCATCATCAACAACAAAAGATTCGCGAATACAGCTCATATCAATATCGGAGAGTTCAACTGGGCCCACGTCAGCGATGGCCACACGAATTCGGGCGCTCCCGTCAGCCTCTTTAGGCAAGATCTTCCTCAAACGAGCAGCTGTGATGACATATTCTCCATATGCTCCTCCTGGTTCATATCGCTTCACCCCGGTTCGGAAGAGATTCAGCCAGGTATTGCCCTTGGGGTCCAATAAATCGACTCGCACCCTGCAAGTGATCGCATCAAGGTACCAGCAATGGTTAGGTTGCGAACACTTGGCGTTTTTCGGGAAGCCAAAGAAAGCACCCACATGTTTGAGATCTCCGGACAGCATAAACACGAGTCTTGCTTCACAGTTAGCAATGCTGAAGTTGTAATTCTTGTACGAGAACCGATCCTTGCTGTGCAGCCAAGATCCAAAATCAAGAAAAAGCTCGACATTCCAAGAATCTCCCATCTCATACAACCATTCAACAGACTGTTCGCCTTTCTCCCAAACCAAGCGCTTGCGAGAGCTCTTAAGCTTGGATAACACGAAGCCAGAATCCAGCTTGAGGTCGTTACCATCAACGGAGACTGTGTTCCTCTGGCCATTGTCGAAAATGCAAGTGCCATCCCTACCATCTTGGGGGGGGTGGGGGTGGGGGGTCAAATCACAAC